AGCTCAGTCTTTGTCTTTCATTTTTGTGTTTGATGATTTTGTCAGACAATGTCACAGTTATAAAATCAGGATTTCAGGTGGTCCCGACATATGAATACGGATGTAAATTAGCATTTTTGCTACAATTTGGCCTGTTTATATTGTGTATTTTGTACTGATGTTCATTAACATGCATTGTCCAAAGGGTTAGCTTTATAACCCTTGTGGAGGAATTATGAATGATTTATAACTAGTTTAATTATTAGCTTGTTAAAAATTTATAATTCATTTTTAAGCTGTTATAACACATTAGCTAAAAAGGGCAACAGTGACCTGTTGCTTGCCAAATAGTGAGCCCACATGTCTCTGTACTGTTCAGCCTCAGATCTCATTAGTTACTGAGCTTTCTTTGTTTTCTCCATCATCAGCATCTGTAGCTGCTGCTTCATCACATGTTTGTTCAGTTACTATCAATGAACCAGCATCAGCATCTTAATGGTGAGAAAGTGATGATATGATCATGATCATATCAAAGCAGATTCATCCTCTGAGGTCGTGGCAGTGTTGTTGACCTTGACATGCTCTCAGCAGCCGTATTCATTCTAATCACAGCTGTTGATCAGATCGTTCTGCTCAGTGGAGATTAACATGGAGATGCTTTCTGCTGGTTGCTCTCTTCTTTAGGACTTTATCATCCAGGTAGAACACAGGTGGGAACCTTCCTTTACTTGGTGAACAGCTCACCCATCCTTTGTCCCACTGTTCACATCTCTGTGATTCTCCCTCCATCATCTTCATGTTTCTTCTTCTCATTCTTACAACCATTTATTATCATTTACAAACATGTACAACTGGTAAAAGGTTCAAACACATCACCATTTATTAATGAGTTACTATAACGCTCCTTTTACCAGTTAGAAATGGTGGTAACTCATTAGTAAGATTAATGAGTAGTAAGCATTAACTTGGTCTTGACAAATAGTGAGCCTGCATCAATGTATGAAAACTGTTACAACTTGTTTATAATTGCGTATTATCTATAAAGTGTTAACAACCATATTAATAACCTAATTATAAACCATTATAAATCCTTCATAAGGGTAGTCTTATTGTAAAGTGGTACCAAAAAATTGTGTTAACATTAACACATACAACTTACTTTAATTCATTAATCCTGGTGGCATTAAACCACTGTCAGTCTACATGAGGCCATGGTTTGATCTTCCAGCACCTTTCTCTCCGTTTTAGGGGAATAGAGCAGTAGAGTAGTGTGTGACTCATACAACAATGTGAGCCACATAAAAAGGTGGCGGTGTGGAGGAAGGCTTAAGGTGCATAATTCAGTGAAGGTAAGGGAGGTTGATTGAGGACAGCAGGGGGAAAACCCCAAATCTTCCCTTCTTGGTTTGATTCCATTTCTTAACCCATAAAAGTGAAAATCATTTCACCGAAAAAAAAAAAAGCTCAATAAAGTCCCTTCTGTCAATGAGTGGGAGTAAGTCCCTTGATTGATACGCCTCATTCTTCACACAAATTCTTGCAGCTTAGTCATTCCACACCAGCAATTTTGCCCTGTGTGTCTTTGTCTATCATTCTTTCTTTTTAATGTAATGAGGAAGCAATGCAAACCAATGAACCTGCTGACCTCTCCAAGACAAAATGCACGCCGCTCCAGAGGAGTAGAAGTGATTTCAGTCACATGGGGATCTGTCACCACGTGAATCTGAAATAATGTAATGTGATGCTTTTGGGAAAACAGAAACACCAGAGTTAGGCAACAGTGGCTGGATAATTAGTCAGTGTGGGATTCCTGTTGAACTTTCTACTTGTCTGGGCGAAGCTGATGGACGCTCAGGGAGGATCAGGAGGCAGGGAAGGGTGAGGGTGGGGGAGGAGGAGGGGGAGTTTTTTCTAGAGGTGGATGAAAACCAGGTAGAAAGAAACTGGTTTCCTGTCCCCGTTTCTGAAGTATACTTCTGAGCTGTTGCGTATGCATAATGTTTGTTCCTGTTATGACATCTGTTGCAACACAAAACCAATTTCCACATCAATGCAGGAGGGGTATATCACGACACTGTGACCCATATTCTGGCCACTGCTAACAGTGTTTTGCATAAATATGCAATTGCTGTGTGTTTTAAAAAATTTGACAAAAACTCTGGAGGTAAAATAGAAAACCCTCCCCATGATGACTCCACCGCTCCTCCTTCTACTCCTGCGACTGTGAGTAAAAGTATGACCTCTACTAAAACTACTGCTGCTTCTTCAACACAAACTTATCTTTGCATTTGATTAAGGACTTCTATAGACACCTTGAAAAGTAGTGTCAACATTTTTGTTCAATTGAACAAAAATCAAACAAATATGAAAGACTTAATGTCAGTGTAACCCATGACAGTACAGGCTCTGTCAGAACAGACCAAAATAACTCAATTTAAATATATATATCACCACTTGGTGTAGTCAGGGATTCAGACTTAAAATTTAAAAAGCTGCATCAAGACAATAACTGTCGATTATCACCTCAAAATAAAACAAGAATCAGAGACTTCTTGTCTGTTCATCACTGTTTTTAATTCTTATTTTTACATCTGCATCAGTCATTATACTATTTTAACTTTAATAATATTTCATTTTCAGTTTATTTCATCAACCTTTTTGTTGTTATATACATTGTTGTTTGTCTCTGTGTGTATGACAAAGCACAATGAATTATCCTGTATATGAAAAATGCCAAAGTAATACAGAGCTCCTGCTGTAATGCTAGTACTGCTTCTAAGTGCTACGTCTGCTAACCACAGATGAAAGACAGACGGAAGGGAAAGGTAACATTAAGTGTGGTGATGTTCCTCTCGTATAGTTTCAAACCTTTTTGTCATAGATTCTCACGCTGGGTGGAACTCTACTGGAGGGATAGTAATCCACTCTTCCAGAAGATATTCCCTCATCTGGCGTTCTGTTGATGACAATGATAATGATAATGATGGTGGTGGTGGTGATGGAGAGCGCTGTCTAACTCCTAAATCTCCAATAGACCAGCTTGGTTGAAATCAGGTGACTGTGAAGGTCACATCAACTATTAAGGGAGCCCTTGTACCCTGGAAAAACTTGTAATCATCATGGTTCTCCTTCAGGTTTTTTAATAGGCCTATTTCACACATTTGAACTACTAGTTTCCTACTGTTATTTACTGATACCAGCACCACTTCCTCTACTAGTAGATATACTGTATCTGTACAGTATGATATATTGTCTTATTTCTATGGGGGAAAACACAACTAAAAAATAAAACAGTGATAAAAATGTACTGAAGTAAAGTATGGAAGATATAAACCGTTGAAACACATGATGCTATAAAAATCAAGACATTGTGTAACTCTTCCTCTGTCAGGATTCAGCATACATTCACCTACAGCACCACCGTGTGGTATTACTGACAGATGGTGCTCCCAAACATGACACTCATACATATGAACAAAACAGTAAGATAGTTTATTTTCATTTATACAACAGTTAGTTCCGACCAAGTAACTTGATTGGATGAGAGGCATTCCATGAGTGGTGATTGACTACATGTATCACTCCGCTTTACAGGTGTTGTATGAACCGTAAATCAGCGTTACATTAACGGTCGTTATCTATTTTAGATTGTAACAAACTTGCAAAGATGAAAAATATTTCCAGAAATAACGTTTGAATTAAATGATGTCTGGTGGTTGGAAGAGGATGAAAGGAAGAAGCCTGGATACTTCAGCGCACACCTCCAGAGTTGCAAGCTAATGTGCAGGTCCGGAAAATGTTTATGTGTTGCTTAGCAACAGTCCAGTACAAGTCCCGTTGCGGAACTATTTGTGTTGCTATATAACAATCACAAATAATTAAAAATGACAAAAATGTCCCAAAACAGATTGTCTGTTTCTTTCATGAGAAGGCCGTACAACGCTTTGTTTCCAAGAAGCAGATGTTGAGTAAGGACCAGAGATTTTTAGAAGTCACAAAACCATCTGAGTAAATTTTCAGTATACACAATTGAGGGTTAAGAGGAACCTCATTGCCTATGATAAGATTATCTGGAGACATTCTCACATACAATGAAACAAAGAATCTTCATGACTGTTACATTTAGGACATGTATCAGTGATGTTGGAGTTAAAATGATGCAACCTAGATAGGATAATGCACTGTCTGCATATTGTATTTGTACTGTCTGAGTTTCAGCTAAAGAACATGTCTCTGATGTTCTTCCTCAGATAAATTCTCTCCTCCAAGCTTGCAGTAGCCTATATTGTGTGAAGATTCTTTGCATTTACTTACAAACATACCTGTCCCTATAGTCTACAAATTTCAAAGTGATATCTTCTAGGCTGGATAGAGGGGTAGGTCTTCAGCTATTAGTCTGCCTGGCCAATACAAAACTTGGTACTTGAATATATTTAAAGAAATATTTTTGCTGGGATACCATATATACCCTTAGGTTCTTCAAATGACATACAGCTACTGTAGTTAGTTTTGTAGTAACTCAGTTTTGTAGTGTTTTTTTCTGTTATACTTTGTGTTGTGATTCTATTGAAAGGTGTTTCTAATATTTGTCCACAATATTTACATATCAAATTTCAAAACTATTGGAAATACTTTTACTGAGATAGACTGGCGACCTGTCCAGGGAATGCAAATACAGGGACTGGAACCTCTAACCTAAATCAATATAAATAGACTTGATGGGAAATTTAGTTTATTGTGTAAACAGCCTGACAAAGTTAAACATCAAACCTCCTGCTGCTTTCATTCATTTTACCGTAACACTACGGCGAACATGTTCCCCAACAATTGTTGTAAAATTATATGACGAAGTAAAAATTGGATGACGATGTAATTATTGTCCAATACCGGTTCAGGTTTAAGTCGGAGCCATTTTCAGACATAATTAAATAATCAATTAATCAATGTCACACGGGTTCTCTGGGTACAGTGCAGATCGGTGCTGTCTCTTTAACAGACATTACGGTTTTTGTTGCCGGGGAGTGACTCTCAACCATAGACACAATGGAGCTGCAGTGACAGTGTAATTAGCGGGCGCCTGTTGTTGTAACTGCTACAGCAGCGTTGCTTAGTGTCAATGTTGAAGTTTTGTTGTCTTCGGATTGGTAGCAGCTAGCTGTTGTTTTTGCGCTAACCGTTCAGCTTGGTGAGTGAGATAGCCCACAGCCCCGTTAGCCAGCCAGCCAGCCAGCTAGCTAGCTAAGCACCTGCTGGAACTCTGCTACTGGGGTTCGCTGCTAGATCTTAGCATATAGCTGTCCAGCTAATCAGGCTGAGTGCTATTATGGAGTTTCCTTTTGATATTAACCAGTTATTCTCCGAGAGGGTCTCGATTTTGGACCAGACTCTTGTTGCAGGTCGTAAATCAGCAGGAAGGTAAGTTAGAAGATCTGATTCCTTTTCTCTTTGTTGTTAGGTAGCATGTTCCAGTGCACTTCCCAACATAGAGTACCTTGTCTGGATCCCCTTTATACAGAGAGTGTAACACCAAACTCCATCCAGAAATCTGCCAATTAAAGCGGCCCCTTATGTAAATGTGCACAAGTAAAATACAATTCAAATGTTGCTTTGGTGAATCCTTTGCTGTGTCTTCACATTTTTTGCTCCCTGCTGTTTGACAGTGATGCCTTATTGAGCCACTCCTTGTCTCATCAAATTTCATGCTACTGTGTTAATCCTTGCAGGCCAGATCTTCAAGCCCACATAGCCACAGTTATTGATGAACTTGGGAGAGCCTCAGCAAAGGTGGGTTTCTGGAGGTGTGGGAGTTATTTGTACGCTAATGTTTTCTATTTGTTTGTGCAAACTTATTGTATACCTATAAGAATAGTCACTGAGTCAGTGACCACAGAAGTAGGAAGTGGTGGTGGTCTACAAAGATATGGATCAAAGGTGATCTGGTCAGATGAGTTCTTCACAATGTTCTCCACAGGTGGGCAAGGTCATGTGTAGCATAAAGCAAGAGAACTGTACAGGCCTGAATGCTGGACCCCTACAGTGAGGGGTGTGGGCTGGCATGGTTTGGAGGGTCACTGCAAATCAATATGAAGTTGTTCTGAGTGATCACCTTTATCCCATGAAGCATCTCTATCCTGATGAGGGGTCTCCTCCAGGATGACAGTGTTCCCGTCCACAGGTGACGAGGGGTCAGTGATGGTCTGATGAGAATGATGTGAATCATATGCTATGACCTTCACAGTCATCAGATCTCAGTGCAGGGGAACTATGGGAGATTTTGGAGTAACGTGTTAAAACACCATTTGAGGGAATATCTTTAAGAAGAATGGTGTTTATCCTCCAGTAGAGTTCATAGACTTGGAGCAGTGAAGCTGTTCTGAAGACACATGGAGGAACAACACCTGCCTGAGACACTTCAAATTGGTGTCTCCTTTAATCTATCTTGATTTGTTGAGATGTTATTGCAAGAATGAATTTTGATGCTTAATTTTGATGTTGGTGTTGTGTCTGAAAGCTGAAAAAGTTTTGGTACAAATATCAAAGACTAAATGTCACCGTCACCCATAACAGTTTAGAACAGACCAAAATAGCAAAGTTAAACTTCTGGCTCAACATATGCCTGGGTCCTCAGCCCGAGTTTGGCCCATACACTTCCACATCTGGGCAGATTCTGGCTGTTATCCTCCAGTATTGTCTGACAGCTGGAAGATTTTCTGTGTGTGCGCCAGAATTGGTCCAAATGTGGACATAACATCTCACAATCATACTGTAAATGGGCCAGAATTGGACCGTGAAACTGGGTGTATTCTGAGCCAGAAGAAAACAAACATATAGCCCTAGTATGGACTGGATTTATTTTGCTGTGTGGGTAAGTTTGGTTTTAGTGCTCTCATTACCTCATTTTGAGCAGCAAGCAGCTGTTTATTTTAAAAATAAGATAATTATTCAATTGCATTCCAGGTCTCACTCCAGGTGAACTATGGGAGATTTTGGAGTGACTTGTTAGACAGCACTCTCCAGCACTCTCTAGTGCTCTCTAGCACTCTCTAGTGCTCTTGCTCTTACAAGAATGAAGTTTGATGCTTAATTTTGGTGTTGATGTTGTGTGTAAAAGCACTGTTTTGGTATGTGCACTAATATTGAAAATGTTCAAACGATACCCAGCCTTTTGTGATAGTGCTGTTTCTACTTATGGACTCATCGGCAGTGTGGTTGGTTGCTCTCCACAGGCCCAACAGCTCACAGCACCTATAACCAGTGCTTCCAAGCTGCAGTCCCAGAGGCATCAGCTCTACCTGCTGAAGGATGGAGAGAGAAACGGGTACATATCACATCCTTCCCACTCACACACACACACTTTCCACTGGATGTCTCTGGACTGACTATGCTCTTCAGGCAGACCTGCTCAGTTCACCAGTGTTGAGTCATACTGTGGTCACAATGCATGTACTGTAATGTTGAGACATACAGCTCATGGCAGCAGTTTGCCTCAAATCACCCAAATGGAAAACAAGGTTGATGAGTGAAAAGTCAGTCAGAGCACAAAGTCTTACTCAATGCACTTCACTCTACAAACTCACTGCCCCTCCTCTCTCTTAATTACAGAGGACGCGGTGTGGTTGTGGGATTTCTCAAGGTCGGCTACAAGAAGTTATTTCTGCTTGTGAGTCACCTATTTTTTTTTAATTTTTTTAATGGGCTTCTTTTTTTTTTATTTTTCAAACTTCTGTCTTTGCAGGCCAGCTATAATTCTGCATGTTTCACTAATTTTATATTTATTTGAACCTCCTTTATCAGCTGTACAGGTGTGCTTGTTGTTTTGCCTCCACAGGACCGACAGGGTGTGCACGTCGAGGCAGAGCCGTTGTGTGTTTTGGATTTCTACATAGCAGAGAACTTGCAGCGACACGGCTACGGATTGGAGCTGTTTGATTTCGTGTTGCAGGTGAAGCCTTCCTCTCTCAGGGGCAAATTACTAGAGACCAGACTCAGTGTAGTGGAGGGTGTTATTACAGTCACCTCTTTCCAGGCTCCTCAGTTCAACAACATCAACAGCTTGATCGCTTGCCAAGACAAATGTGATGAAACATTTTTGCTGTGACTGCATTCGTGCATGATGACGTTGCAAAAGGAGGCTGACCTGTGTGAAAGCTTTACAGCCTGACCCATACTGATATCAGTAATTTAATAGTTTATAAAACTATATGCATGTGTTGATCAGGCCAACTTATCTGTCTCCAGTGTTCCTCTACATAGAAAAGCCCTCTGAGTCTCAGGGATAATTTCACAGTATTCTAGGTTGATATTATCCATTTGAATTAGAGATGAAACGGTATAAAAAGTTAATATCACAATTATAGTGACCAAAATGTTCACGGTTATCAATATTATTGCGGTATTGTTAAAATGTGCTGAAGTTTTTCAAAAAGTAATAACACACAACCTGAAATCAGTTCACCAAGTGAATGTTTGTATTTAAACATTAAAATAATAATAACAACACATCTGTGTCTCAGATGAGGACAAGGGCCCAGTAGCAGCACTAGGTCTGCCTGCTGCATGCTCACTCTGTAAACAAGGGAAAAGCAAATGTCTTATTATTATTGTTATTATTTTCCATGCTGTGATGTCTTTCAGAGCACAGACACTGTAAACACACCTGTCACCTGTCCAGCATGGTGCTGTTAAACCAGAAACGCTGCAGCTACACTGCTCAGGGATGAAAGAGTGAGCTGCAGCCCCGAGATAAGTTTGAAAACACACAATCTCAGATCAAAGTGTCTCACACGGAGGCTCCAACACTGACAGGAGAACCAACCCAGTTTTATCCGGTTTGTATGGCAGCTAGTAGATCACTCTTTCTCTGCTGTATCTGTGTGTGCTCTCTGTGGATCATGTGACATCGATCCGAACAGAAAGGCAAACTCAGCTGTAAAAGGAGTCACCTTTTTTAGTGGGTTTACCCACGTTTGGAAGAAAAACTCTTACACCCACTAAGTTTAGTGTGAAAAGGTTTTAGAAGGGTGAAAAACCTTCCGAGGAGCTGTCCCTGCCTTCTGCCATGTTATATGACTGACACAAAACAAACCCACTTTGCTTGCTGCGCATGTGTCTGCGAGACTGTTGCTGGCTGATGCTGTACAGAACCTAACATGAGTTAAATTAACCACTGGAATCGACCATGGTTATAGTGACAATTAAAGTTTAAACAGTGATACTAACCGTCTGGCATTTCAAGCGTGAAACCGGTAACTGTTTCATCTCTACTTCATGTCTGACACATCATGATTTAGTTTTCCTAGTTTTTTAGTTTTTTCAACAATCTAGTTCAACACATGTAAAGGCTAAAGTAGCTGCTCCACGTGACCACAGTCAAAGGCAGGTTGAGAACCTTCTGGTATAGAGAGAGGAATAATGGCGCACACCTTATGAATTCAGATGAAGCACTTATGATCTGGGAAATGAGGGAAACTCAGCATCACCTCACTGGTCAGCCTCCTGTTTGTATCCATATTACAAATGATCAAACACTAATCAGCAACTACATGTTGGGTGTTCAGTGAAACACAGTAATTCACCAGCTGTACAGAGGTGTGAAACTTCCCGTCTTTTGTCCTGATAATTCAACCCAAGTTTCCTGTCCTTCTAGTGCTCCAGCTGTCAGTCACCTTCATTTATGATTCTGACAGAGAACGGGGTTTCAGGAATCCTGGTTGTCTGAAATAGTGAATTTCAAAGCTTGATTGTTGAAAAATGTACCAGTGTAGTGTATAAGTGCTGATGATGCCGACGGTTCATTTTCATGTGCTGTTTATCAGTGTTTGCATGTTTTCTCTTTTTCTGCTGTAGCACAAGAATTTAGAGCCGGTGCTGATGGCGTATGACAGACCCTCTCCCAAACTCCTGTCTTTCCTGGCGAAGCACTACTGCCTGACACAAAGTGTTCCACAGGTACAGTCTCCACTCTACTATCATGCTATCAGTGTGTGAATGGTTAGTTCTCTCCTATCTACTGCACACTGTACTAAAACAAGTCTGTCCAACTTCCACTTCTACAGATGACGTCTCTTTAATATATTCATATTTTCCTCTGGGGCTCTGGTGACACAGAGAAAATGACACATGCTTTAATCTGACAGTGTGAAAATCTTTTCTTTCATGTGACTTTCAGTGTGATTGCTCCACTTAATACAGTTATATATAGACACTGCCATCCCCTGTCTCTTTCCTTCAGTTTTGGCTGTTTGGAAGTAGATCTGTCACTGTGAGTGTTTAAAGTTTCTCTCCAGACATGTTTTCAAACTATGATCCATATTTTGTTTAACATAGTTTTCACACATAAAAAGTGGGGGAAAAAAACAAAAAAACTGGTGCTAAAGCTCATCTACACAGTGTTAGTGGTTGTGCTAATGCTAACTCTCTCTCTCTGTACTGACAAGGTTTCAAGTTTATTTAGCCCTGATTTAGCCCCCGATGTTAACAAGGGTAAACACTTGATTTTCATCAGGTCTTTCAAAAGGTGCATACAAAACAACAACCCAACAGAATCCAGAGCAATGTGAGCACAACTTACCAACATAAATTATTATTATTATCAACAATGAGCTAATGGACACATGAATTTCCCCTAGAGGATAAATAAAGTATCTATCCATTTATCCATTTATCCATCCATCCATCTATCTAAATAGATGTCCATAAGACAAAAGCTTCAAACATTCAACAAGACACCGTGGTTTGACCTGGTGTGATCTCACATTCTTGTGAATAAGATACTGTATGTCAGGAATGCCCCGAGGGAATTTAATCACACCTGCCACAAACATTCACTTGGGCTCAAGGGTGAACTGATGAGAATTTGGTAGTCAAAGGTCACTCTGACCTCACCAAACACGTTTTTGGCCATATTTCATACATCACGATTTAACACAAATGAGAAGTTTTTCATAATTAGTGTGATCAAAACACAAACATGCACTGAGTGAAATCGTGAAAGTCTTCAGACCTTTTACTTTGCTCACATCATGTTACAGCTTTACGCTAAAATCATTGAAAGCCATTTTTCCCTCATAAGTCGTCACTCAGTTCTCCATGAGGACAAAGAGAAAACAGACTTTTAGACATTTTTGCAAATTTATTAAAAAGTAAAATTGAAATATCACATTGACATAAGTATTCAGACACTTTACTCAAGACTTAGTTGAAGCAGTGATTACAGCCTCCAGTCTTTTTGACTCTGATGTCTCAAGCTTTGCACATCTGGATGGTGACTGTCGGTGTACAGACATTTTCAGGTCTCTCCAGATGTTTGACTGGGTTCAGGTCAGGACTCTGGCTGGTCCACTCAGGGACATTCACAGAGTTGTCTCTCAGCCTCTCCTGTGTTGTCTTGGCTGTGAGCTTAGAGTCATTGTCCTGTTGGAAGGTGAACCTTCAGCCCAGTCTAAGGTCCTGAACTCTGGACCAGGTTTTCATTAAGGATCTCTCTGTACTCTGTTCAGTCCCCCTGTCCCCCCCACAGCCTGATGCTGCCTCCACCATGCTTCACTGTTTGGATGGTGTTGTTCAGGTGATGAGTGGTGCCTGGTTTCCTCCAGACCTGACTCTTAGAGCTGACACCAAACACTTCAGTCCTGGTTTAATTAGACCAGAGAATCTGGTTTCTCTCAGTCTCAGTCCTTTAACGGCTTCTCTACAAACTGTCCCTGAGGAGAGGCTTCGTCTGGACTCTCAGCCTCAATACAACCCTGTCTCTGAGCTCTGCAGCAGTTCCTTACTCTGCATGGTTTCTACTCTGATCTGCATTGTCAGCTGTGAGACCTGATGTAGACAGGTGTGTGTCTTTCTACATCATGTCCAATCAGCTTACCACAGGTGGACTCCAGTTAAGGTGGAGAAACTTTTCAGATGGTCCAGAGAAATGAGTGAAACCTGAGCTAGAGTCAAGAGTCTAGTTTCACAGTAAAGTCTCTGCCTTTTTTGGCTTAGTTATCAGTTTTCTATCAAGTTTTTCATGATTACTGTGATCAAAACACAAACACATACTAAGTGAAATTGTGAAAGTCTTCAGACCCGTCAGTTTGCTCACGTTATGTTGCAATTGATGAGGGGAATATTTTTCTCATCATTAAGTCTGCAACATAACAAAATGTGAAAGTCTGAAGACTTTCTGAGTGCAGTGTAAATGGGACAATAAACACTACTAGCTCATTTAGCAGAATTCTCTACATCACTAATATCTAGTACAGTTGGTCTGTAATTAGCCATGAACTGCAAAGGCAGGAACACCAAGGTTGTGATTCTGTTCCTGGAAACCTCATCTTTATGACATAAGATTAACTCTGTGCTTGTTCATTTGCTGCAGGCAGTTGATGCGATCTAGGGCAGAGCTTTCTGTGAGGTGGCAAAAGTGTCACCCTTTTCCTCCTTACCTGGTCAACACTTGTTGCTCGTCCAGAAGAGATCTGATTAACTCTGTGTGATACTGCCATGTTAATGTGAAGACAGTAAATTGAGCCATAGATAAATTAAAAAGTAAAAACACATCACAACCTAGTGTTGCTTTTTTTATCCTTTTAAAGAAGTGGCTAAGATTTGAAGTTCATTCTTGACCTTGGAAACAGCTGTTGAGTTTTTGACTTGCAGCACCTGATTTGTCAGTATCTTGTGCTCTATAGCAAACATGTGGGATTTAGTAACCTGCACCTTCTTTCCTGTGTTAGCTTATGCTATTTAATCAAAGGTTGGTGTCAATAAAGTACCAAAAAACATAGTCTGCAGTAGAAGATGTGGACTGCTGTTAGTACAGATGTAAACTTGTAAAACTCCTAATTAAAATGATCAGGATCATTCTCTAGGCGGCGTGTAGGTGCTCAAAATGGCTCTTGTCTGTTTGCATACTTGTACTTGTCAAAGATCATTTGTGAGGGAAGAAGCTCCACTACACCACGGTATGATCAAAGTGTTTTTGTAGTCCCAACAACTCCAACAGTCAGATTTTAGTGCCACTCTTAGTGCTTACTCTTTAGTGAAACCACCAGCTGATCACCTCATCAGTTTCAGGAGCCACATTCACATAGACTTTAAATAAAGATGGATGTAGCCTCTATGACGTCACCCACAGGTATCTGAAGAGCAGTTTTGAAGCACAGAGTGAGCTGCTCTACCGTCGCCATCTTGGCAGTGTCTAAGTCCACCCCTAAGCCTTAATAAAATGTAAACAGGTGACTTATATAAAAAGTTGTCATGGAGGAAATTAGCTATAGAGACCAAGACTGTTTTTGTACCATGCCGTAAACGTGTTTATTTCTGCTGTAAAGTTGGAGTCAGACTTTAGTGGTCATTAGAGGAGCTGTGGTGTTTACTCAAGACCAGCTCAAGTTCAAGGAATGGTGTAAAAGGGAGTTGGCACAGTGTCTCTGCCAGAAAAGGAGCTACTGTCTGTCCTGTTTTGTGGCTGCTTGCCTTGATCATTTTGATGGCTATGAGAAACTCACTGCTTGCCACACCTGTACAACAAGCTCAGTGAATTGTACACTCCCTTAAACAGCCTAACCCCTCCAACTAGAATTACCACCTCATTTGTGTGAAGCTTTGTCATAATTGCTGTGTGAAGTCTCAACTTATAGCTGAAAAGTGTTTTCGGCAGGCACACTGACCTTGACCTTTCACCACAAAAATCGAATCAGTTCATCCTTGAGTCCAAGTGGACGTTTGTGCCAAATTTGAAGGAAGTTCCTTCAACGCAATACACAGATGTTGTTCTCACAAAGCCAAAACCACATTTTGTGAGGTCATGTGATCTTGACCTTTGACCAACAAAATCTAATCAGTTCATTCTTGAGTCCTAGTGAATATTTGTGCCAAATTTGAAGTTCCATCAAGACATTACTGAGTTATCATGTCCAAGAGAATGGGATGTATGGATGGACAGACAAGCTGAAAACAATATGCTTGTCACCAGCGCAAAAGCATAAAAAGACAGGGGGATTAGGCTGAACACACAAGGTTACAGACACAAACTGAGGGAGTAATACCCTCTGTGTTGTTGTACTTTCTTACTTTCTTCATCAACCTTTTACTAACAGTTTGTGTCATGCTTGTCTTTGTTTTTATTCTGTCCAGGTCAATAACTTCGTGGTGTTTGAGGGCTTCTTCCTCAACAGAGAAGGTAACTTTTTCACTACTCTGATCCTATTGCTGTGGTTTTTGTTGTTGTGAAAGGGATTATGTCTTTGTTTTTCTTCTCTGTGATAACATGAGCTAAAAGATGTGGGCAAGTGGGTGGCTTCAGACATGACATCCTTACTTGCTGAACCTGTGATCGGCCAGCGCTCTTGGTATTACTACATCAACCCTGAATCTGCTTTAACGGCTTCTTACCTTTGTTTTGCAGAACTGCTCCACATACTTTTGTGCATATGTTCTTAAGTTCAGTTACATGACATGTTTTGCATGCTACAGCTTCAAAGTGAATTCTTGCTTTTTGCATCACAGCAAATTCATCTTTTTGTTGTGGAAAAAAACAAAACCCACCCTCATTAGAGAGATACAAGTCTGAAGAAAGGGGACTCGACCCCAAAGTACTGATCTGCTTTTATTCCAGTTCCAAAATCTTTTGTTTCACCAAACTCTCCCAGGCTCACCCTCCTCTCCTCTGACGGATCAGGGGATGTACGGCTTTTTGTAAGGACTTTTCTCTCTCTTCTTTTCTCATATGTCCCCAGCATCTTGTACCCCTTCCTTTGTCCCATAATTAGGTCCATGTTATACGTATGATGCTCCTGGTCTCATTTATCTTCTTCCTCTTAATTTTTCAGCCAGTTTCAGTTTCTCTTTCCCATCACATGTATTTATCTACCTACCTTTTTGGGTACCATATGTATTATGCAGCATATCATATATTCAACCTACGCTCGTAGCTGTCAGAGAGTATCAACAGAGAGCCACAACCTGTAGACCACCTCAAACCCCCACAGACCACTTGACCGACAGGAGAATACCTGCCTGTTTCCTGACCCTCCAGTGTCTCTGAATGTCCGTCAGTTTGTTAAAGTCAATTTAAGGTGCTTTGTGTGACACTCTGCCATCAATAAACCACATTAGTGTAATCACTCTAAACAATAAAACCATTGTTAAGAAGATTGGTAGCCTCTATACCAGTGTCTACACTGCATTTTGTAATGCATGCCATTAGCTTGGATTTTAAAAATTGCACAAAACCGGAAGATGTCCCAGGGTCTGTCTGCAGCTTGCTCCCTACAAAACACAGCCAGTCCAAGGCCATAGGTACAGCTGCAGCCCTGCAGAGACAGGCACACCCACTGTCTCATATTGGTGCTGGAATAGGAGCTTTTTAAGTACCACAGTCTGTAAGACAGCATAGAAAAGATGTCATGGTATTCCTTTTGGGGATGCCCATTTTGAATTTTTTTTCAGACCGATAGCCAACGCTCGTTAACTAACCATTAACCATTAACCGACAATATTAAAATGTACTATTTAGAATGGAATACCAATACAAATTTTTTTTTTCCTTTCATAAGATGGGGCTTATTTTTACACGTGCAGAACTGGCATAATAGCCTAGGCTCCCTGTGTCGGAAAATATTTTATAACTTCAAATAAATAGCAAATAGTAGCCAAACTTTCTAATGTATAAACAGTTTAACAAAAGGAAAACACATTGAATCCTCCAGTGCAGAGAGCGCTGTAAGGAAAACCTCCTCCTCCGCTCTCGGCTAATTAATGATCAAAAACAGCCAACAGGTGAACAAAACTTAAACTTGTAGTTGCATTTTTCAGACCTCAAAATAAAATAAACAGGCCAGGTCTACCTCAGTCCTCAGCATAGTGGACAGCTTGTCTACTGGTGTTTGTTCAGAAATAGCAACATGTCGACATGCTGAGGAGTTAGTCTGGTGCGTAGTCCGATAACTGTGAGACCAGCTGCGGAGAATACCCGCTCAGATGGTACCAATGTCCCAGGAATGCAGAGATGGCACCTCATTAGAGTGGCCAGCTTCGGGAAGTGCATCTGATTAGCTTTCCACCAGTCAAGAGGATTAGTATCCAATGAGGGGGATTGTCACTCATATATGTATATTTTTTAATTGTTTAACTGATATTATTAATCAGTCAAAATTCTTATTGTCGGTTAACGGTAAAATTATTAATTATTATCATCCCTAATTCCTTTAGCATTCCTTTAGCATTTAGCAAGCTCAGAGTGAGCTGCTCCACTGTCGCCATCTTGGCAGTGCCTGACTCCGGCCCTAACTCCCAGCTAATCCAAAAATGTACAAAGAGGTGAGGCGTGTGTAGAGCCGAGACCTCAGTGAATGCCGGTTTGTGGCAAGCATATGCTCACCCACCTGTCACTCAAAGAGGCCACGCCCTCAATTATACATTTCTATACATTTGTATCAGGCTGTAAACATGTTTATTTCTGCTGTAAAGTTGGACATTTTAACATGGGATTCTATGGGGATTGACTCACTGTTGGAGCCGGACTCTAGTGGTCATTAGAGGAACTGCAGTTATAAGTACTGCAGTGTTAGCTTCATTTTTCAGCCTCAGTGGTTGATGCCTTTCCTATATTAACAGACATCCAAATTTAGATTAAATTTACGATAACTGATGCTGAACTATATATTACTAGTGATATTATTTCATAATAATAACTCTCATAATAGTAATGGTTGTGTTGTACTTGGTGTCTGCTGTACTGCTTGGTACTCTTGGACATGTTTTGTAGTGACTGTAAGCTAGAGAGATCACTTGACCAATGTAGTCAAAGCTTTTAGAGATGCAGTGGAAGAAGATGGTGGAAAAGTTTTTATTTTTATTTTTTAACAAAGACAGTGTGTAATGAAGCTAGTGAACGTCTGAGACATGTTGTAAATGTAAGAAACATTGGTACTAACCCCATGGCTCATGTAAGATGGAGGCTGCCAATCATTTTAACCAGAGTTTCATTTATTTTTATCAAAGGCACCACAGTGAATGTGATTAAGACTAAAACAGCATGTTAAGGCTACAAATCCACTTCTTAACAGAATCTGAATACTGGACTCTGGTGATCTTACACTGCTCAAGTGACTGAAGAACAACTATTTCCCACGGGCCGATGAAAGACTGCAGAATATTTAGTTTAAATTCAGGAGCTGTCTGTCTTTATGACACATGGTCCAGTTTGATTTTCAGGTTGTGTTAACAGACCTGCTCTGAGCTGTTGAAGATCTCAAGACCAGTATGTAAATTGTGTTTTCGAGTGGATCCTCCCTTTGAGCTTTCACCACCAGTATCCCAACCTTCACCACTAGATAATGTCACAATCCTGGCAGAGGAAATGCTGTTAAAATATAGTTTGTAGAGGACAGTATGTAGGGCTGTGTTTCAGGAGGGAAGAGACCCTGTCGTGTTCTGTGTTTCTGTTCTGCTCTGAGTGTGTTCTCCTCCACAGCTGCCCAACTGAGAAAGGTTCCCCTAAAAAAGCCGGACGGAGAGATCAAACCCTACTCTATAATGGAGAGAGAAGGTAAACAGTTGTTTCACTTGGCGATACACACAGACATCAAACAGATGCATTCACGAGAGGAACCAGTGTTTCCTCACTAACATAATGCCTGGCAAAGGGCCAATCAGAGTTATGAGCAAGCAACAGATGAATGTAGTATATAAAGCCCTAACATATACAAAACGTATTTAGAGTCAAATATGTGACGTTTATAATTGATGAAGTGGTTCATACTGAGCCATCTGTTAAGCCTAGTTGGCCTCAGCTCCCATTATGCCATAAAGATGAAAGAGTTATAGCCTTGCATTACAAAAGCAGAGGAGCTTACTAATTAATAGTCAATTTCAAAATAAAATTCTGTGAGATATCATCGTGCAGCAGATATCTGCATATTTCAGAGAAATCTTTCAAATGTGGATACAATACTAAACTTGGCACAAATCACCTTTGGGTATTACTCTTTTTGATGAAACATGTTAGGCACTTGAAAATGCGAGATGGCCACCATTTCCAAGATAGCTGACATTTGTGGCAAGGAATTTTCCCATATGATCTAGATATCTAATCATAAATTTTAACAATGTAGAAGGTCAAATTTAGTGCATGGTAAAAATGAAACCTGCAGGGGAGTCAATTTCAGCAAAATCATTAGCAAACTCACAAAAGTTTCCTAATAAAATCACAACTTTGTGTTGATCTTTGCATTTAAGAAGAAATTATTTTTTACCAAAAACTTTGATCCGTGTTTGAATATTTCCATTTTAAATGGGAACACAGTAAAATGGTTTATTCTTTCATATTAAGATATTAGGACGTTTCTATGAAAAACAGTTTGTCTGAGGTAAATATAACCCAACATTAACAAGTATCTGCTCTGTAAATGTGACAGTATTGGGTGATAATTAGGCCTCTTTTATGTGACTAGTCTATTTTATTTATTGTTGGTGACTATGAGAAAAAATGAAAACAAAGTGCAATGAATTTCCTGGAAGCTCAAAATGACAGTCCCACTACTGGCAACTTAGTTAGCTAGTATCAGCTAAGAAAGCACACAACTTTTCATGTTGAAGTCCAAGCTTTAAGGTTAAGTGTTTTAAGCACTAACTAGCTCATGGGCTAGTTAGTATAGCAAGCTGGCGAGCTAATGTTAGCTACTAATGCTGATTAAAGGGTTGAATAAATCAAGTACACTGTCGACATTTACAGAGCTTTTGGTTCATTCATAATAAATGGTTTGAAATTACATTGTGTTTTATACATAATTTTTCACATATCAGAAATTACACAAATAAAGCTCTAAACAAATTTAAGAATTTGTCAATTTAAAACATAAAACAGAATTAGCTTGCAAAATTATTGAAATCTGTGGGTACAATTCTATTGTAAAATATGTGCCTCATATGCTGGAAATGGTGGACATCTTGGAAATATATGGCCATTTTGAAATTTCAAGTTGCTAACAGGATTTTTCAAAGTGAAGACCCCAGAGGGATAAACATGCCAATTTTGGTGCTTGTAACCACATTTGAAAGATTATTGCAGTTATTTGCTGCAGTATGAGGGAAACATTCAGATTAGCATTTACAGCCAGACATTTTTGTTTCTCATAAACCTTGAAACTAAATACAGTAATTACTTGTTTAGTTCCTTGTTGGTACATCATTTTTAATTGTAAAGGAGACAAGGCACTGCACTTCATATCTTTACCTGCATTTATATGAAAGAGGATCAGCAGCTTTATTGTATGAAGGAAAGGGCAACAGAAGGAGAATACCAGGGAAATGGAACAACCATGAATGAAATTACAAATTGTAAGGCAGGTTATTATTTATTTCTCATTGACGTGTAGTTACTCCACCATCAAGACCTTGGTTTACTGTTTTCTGTGGCTCTTGGGAGTTTTCCAAAGTCTGACAAAAAATAACCTACATAATACCATCAGGGTGAATATTTAACAAGCATGGAGGGTTGAACAAAAGACGCTGTAGAGATGCATCAGGATCCAGTGATTTAAGAGTCAGACCTGTACCAGGGACTAAAAGAGAGAGTGGGAATATTTCAGCCTCTGCTGCTTCAGTTTTACCCTCCTGTCTCTCATCTGTCTATTCAAGGTCTTCCAGCTTTATAGCAGTGCATTACTAAATTGCTGGACTAGTTAGTCATTAATAAGATGTGTGTGCACTAATCATCTCCTGTCAGTTGATACTAGACAAAAATAACTGCAGCGTAGGTCGCTGACGTCATGAGTCATGAACATGTAAATAGCTGATTGCATGTTCTCACTTTCCTGTGCAGTGGTACGTCAGGAGCAGAGGGCTCTTCCCTGGCCATTTGCTCCTCCTCACTCCCCCCAGCGGTCGGTATCCTCCCAGTGCTCCCACTCCCTCAGTGTGGGATCCTCCCCCAGCAGGGTGCCCCTTCGAGCCGCCCCAACGTCTGCCCTTGGGGCCAACAGGGACCAGAGCCCACAGTCCCCTCTCGTAGAGCGCTGCAGGGCAAAACGCACCAGGTAAGACACAGCACACCTCCAGTCCCTCTGACTTCACGGGTGTTACAGCTTGATCTGTATCTGGTCTTCTTTCAAAACAAGCCTCATGTAACTCTGGGGTGGGAAGCACTTAAGTGGAAATGCAGTCTGTACAGTGTGTTGGTTGGTATTTTACACCAGCGTCATTGTCTCTGCACCGTCCTACTGTCACTGAAGTGTTTTCTTAAATCCCCTGAATACTCAGTGGATTCATTTTAGTGTTCAAGGTAGAATTTATTGTCGTTTTCTCTGTACAAAAAAGACCCAGTATACAGGGGAACAGATTAGCATCACTTCAATGCTCTACTGTACACAGTAATAACAGATATATGTGTAAAAAAGACTCAAAAACAAATACAAAGACAGTAAGCTCTAATAAAGCAGGTAAAATATAACTTAATGTAACAAAAAGAGGACTCTAGCTAAATAAGAGCTCTATTTCTCAGACTGTCTAAAGCAAAAATAAAAATGGAAAAAACTCTACCCTCACTGGCACTAAAATACAAACAACACAGGAAGCAGCACCCCTGTTCCTGATGGCACTAACAAACCGTACTTTCCTACGTGTGGTTCAAATCAGTTTTGGTTTTCAGCTCAGACTTTGCCCAGTCCCCAACAGACACAACGAGTGCCTTAATATAAATCTTAACCACAATCCTCACAAAGTTTCAGTGGCACCGAGAGGTACGTAGGCAAGCTATCTAAGGCCAGGAACACACTGGATGTGTGGTGTGTGCGTGGTGGCAGCAGAACAACTTGGTTTTCATTTTGAAGCAAATGTTTACAGGTTAGAGCGACACACTGTACATGTCACACCTCGCGGCTGAGTCGTGTGATATACAGATTCAGCGTCTGGTCATCATACTGGTCTGATTTATGAAATGCTTTAGAGGAGATTTCAAAATATCCAGATGAATATGATGTATCAGACTAAACATGCCAAGATATTATTTATAGCCCATATCGCCAAGCCCTACTGGAAAATTAGGTGATTGCTACATTCAGTACGATTTATCTTCTGGGGACCAAGACTGTTCAGATTTCATCTGACGGTTTTTATGAGACCATTTCTTTGGAAGGAAGTAGTTCCAATGAAAAGAAGAATAAGTTCCTCTCAGAGTCTACCTCAGGCTTGATTTTGATCTTGTCAGCCTCTGGTGTACTACAGAGAAAAGCTTGGTGCAGACACTGACTCCTCAGTCGTCATGGTCCAAGGCTAGATCAGATCCTGTCTGAGCCCTGAGTGCCTGCATACAAATAAACACAAGTTAAATCACCCATGGACGGCCTCCTGGTCGCCCCGGGTCACTGTGCGTTAGTTATTGCGCTGCTCCATGTGATAGCTGCTTGCATGTGCTGTGATTTATCGATGTTGAAATGCTGTATGTGTTACTTTGAACAGCCGCTGCAAATGAGGTGTTGTGGCTGCACAGTGGGGGGACCTTACAGTGTGCAGAGGCCCGGTCTCAGTGCCAGTTCTGCCCCACTTGGCAGATCAATGCTACATTCCTCTCATTAGTCTCTTATTGTGTGAAGCACAAAGACTCTTGCTCTCTCCTGTTATTTGTTCTGCTCAGCCACAGCTTTCTAAACACTGTCTCTTTCTCTCTCTTTCCCTTCCCTTCATTTTTTTGTTCACCATTCCACCCCACTGATCTTCTTCTGCCCCTGTGATGAATTCTCTGTCTCTTCTTTTCACTGTCATCATCAACTGCTAATACAGTTCCCTCAATAGATCCCAACTGGGCTTCCATTGACCTGCCTCTAACTGGCACCATTGACTTTTCCCTTTAAAGGAGTGGCTGTGGTGTCTTAGTTTGACAGAGCCCGTCTCTGTGACGTGGAGAAGGAGAGTCGGCTGTTGTTACAATGATTATTTGGCTCAGACAAGGCGAGGCTCCTTTAAGCCTTTTTAAAACATGACAGCTCTGTCTAATCTGCTTTGCCTTTTTTTAGAACCAATTAAAACATGTGCCACAAAACTGCAAATGTGAGGTCGCTTTTTGTCACATAACTGTCACACAAATACATTAGTGTTAACCAAACAAACTGGTTGGTATAAGATAAGGCTGCACATTCTGTTCCAGAGTCTTATTTCCATTCTGTGGCTTTTTATTTCTCATGTTTGGTTTTATTGAAACACCCTGTATGGTTTTTTTTTCTCTTTTGTTCTAATTCGTAATTATGTCCTTTTTTTCCTTTATTCCTTCTTTTCTCACTGTTGTCTTACCTGACTGTCCTTTGGCTTGCACTTCCATCCCTCCTTGTACTCCTGTCCTCTCTCTGTTTCACCCTGCTCTGTGTTTTTTCGGTTTTCTTCTCATCCTCCTTGCTGGTTGTTGCCATCTCTCTGGTAGCCAACAGGGTCTAGTTGCCAGATGCAGCCTGTACAGTCGGCACCTGGACAGCAGAGCTGTTGGACTGCTGGACTCACACCTGCTAGGTAAGGTTCAGTGTGCGCTCGTTGAAAATGATGCTTGATTACATGCTGACGCTGGATCACCTGTACACACTGTCCTCAGATCCTCTCCAGATGTTCAAAGGATGATGTTAATAAAGTGTGTGCAGATGTTTGACAGTGTGCAGGACATTTTGATACGACTTTACTGTGTGCAAGAACTTATGGCATAATTATTACCTGTTGGAATTTATTTGGACGACAAAATAATCTTAACTCAACAACCACTTACTAGCTTTGTTGGAGCTTTCAGACACCTACCAGTCTTCTTCAGGCATCTTCAGTTATGGGAACATCAGTCACATCATAACAAGTGGTCGTACATGCCACCTGAGGAAGACTGAGATGTAGTAGAAAGCTCCAGAAATGCGAGTGAGTGGACCTTGAGTTAATTTAACAAAGACAGCAGCTTTAACATACTGACTTTCAAAACCAGCCGAAGTCTAACCATCCATTTATTATTTATTATTATTTTCTATTTCATCATGCTTCTATGGTTACAGTCATGATGTAACTTAAGTCTCAACTGCGCCCATCAGCCTGGACTGATTTAAAGAAATAGTTCACTCTATAATGGAACTGTCACCGTCCACTCTTACAGAGTCAGCTGATGTTGTTTGGAGTGGCTGACCTGGGGTAAATGCCGGTGTATTTCCTTCTGTCCTGTTCTTAGACTTCCCTCCCACCCATGTCAGTGCTGACGGATTATTTCTAACATTGACCTGTACAAAGAACCTGTGTAGGTCAGAATGAGTGTTGACCCCGGCACGTCCATTTAAAACTAATATCCTGAATGAATGCTGATAAACCATGACCCAGTGCTGAGGTGGTTGCAGCATATTAAACAGCTGTCATGTGGTAATATACTTATGTAAATAAACTCCATTAAACTCCTGTTCCTGCAGGTGGATCCCACAGTATCCCTGATCCAGCTCTGACAACTAAACACAGATCTGTTCAATACATACTGTATATAGATTTATATTTTCATGGCATCGCAAAATATTGAAGATAGCATCAAATACACTCAGTGAGCACTTTATTAGGAACAGCACACTAACGCTGGGTAGTTGCTCAGTTCTTCATGCCATAGATCCTCCAGATGTTGAAACTTTCCTCTCAGACTCTGCTCCATGTTGACATGATGCATCACATCATTTCTGCTGATCTGTCAGCTGTACATTCAAGCTGCCAATCTCCTGTTCTACTGCTAAGGTTCACTGAACTCACTGTCATGTTGATGAAGCCAGTGTGTGACATGGAGCATGATCCTGTTGGAAGGAGCCATTAGAAGATGGTGAACTGTGGTCATGAAGGATGAACATGTTCAGCAACAATACTCAGACAGACTGAGACATTCAGACCATGATTGATTGGTATTAAGAAGAGAACATTCCCCACACCATCACACCACCACCACCAGCCTGGACTGTTGACACCAGGCAGGTTGGTCCATGGATTCAGACTCTGACTCCACCATCTGCTGCCTCAGCACAAATCCAGATCCATCAGACCAGGTCTTCAACTGTCCAGTGTTGGTGAGTCTGTGTCCACTGCAGCCTCAGGTTTCTGGTCTGGGTGACAGGAAGTGGAACCTGACGTGGTCTCTGTGGCTGAAGGTTGGATGTGTTTTTCACTCTGAAGCTTCTCTGCTCAGCACAGTTGTAAAGAGTGGTTATCTGAGTGACTGTAGTCTTTCGGTCAGCTCCAACCAGTCTGTTCATTCTCCTCTGACCTCTGACCTCTCTCATCGACACAGAGCTGCTGCTAATTGGATGCTTTTGTTATTGCTCCACTCTGAGTAAAAACTCTAGAGACTGAGTGTGAAAATCCAGGAGATCAGCAGTTTGAGAAACACTCAAGGAGTGTCACAACAATCATGTCACAGTCAAAGTCACTGAGATCATGTTTCTCCTCATTAACTGAAGCTCCTCACCTGGATCTGCAGGAGGTTATACAATAAACTGCTGCCATGTAGTAATAATAATAATAATAATAATAATACATTTAATTTGGCAGCACCTTTCACAGCACTCAAGGACACTTTACAGAAGACTAAAAACACAATAAAAATAATGAAAACAACAGACAGTTGAAAAGAAAACAATGAAATTATAGCGAATATGCAGATTGAAACAGATGAGTTTTGAGTCTTGATTTGAACTGGGGTAAAGAAACAATGTTACGGATGTCTGGTGGGAGAAAGTTCCAGAGTTGGGGAGCAGGGCGGCTGAAAGCTCTGCATGTGACTGGATAATTGGGTGATTGCCAAATAAACAGGTGATCAGGTGTTCCTAATAAAGTGCTTGGTGAGTGTGTTTGTGTTTATAGTCAAACAACTGTTTGCTCAGTCTACTGTACAAGTCCAGTATTAGCCTCATTATCTCAAAGTGTTTCCTTGATGACAGTGTGTGTAAAGTATAAATTACACGACATTCATTTTTGGGTGAACTATCTCTTTAATGGGTTGTCATAATCAGATATCGCTTAATACTAACCTGTGTTTCAGTAGGAAACTTACCAAGGTGAACAAGATTTTTTTGAGTGGAAATTTAAAGATGCTGAACGTTGCTATTAAACCTTCCCTGGGTGAAATGCACATTACTAGAGTCAGGTGCAGTACAGCCAGGCAGCTCTGCTCTCCTTCCTCATGTGTTAGTACCTTGTGCCTCCTCAGGTATGAGACCAGTGGTGGATCAGTCATACGCACTGGGATACACTGACACACACAGGTTGGCCAGTATTCACACACCACTAAGCAGGTATTTACACTACTGCACTAGACGTTTAACTGTTGATTGTCAGGGAGGTTAACAAGCATGACAGCAAACGAGGCGGTTCAGCGACTCACCCTACGTGCAGACATCTGTGGCCAAAACGCATAAACTGCTTAAAGGAGCCTGTCCTCACCAGAAACTGGTCATCTGGTCCGAAACTTAAAGTTGGAATCATGGCTCTATGATACATGTAAATATGACTGTAGCATGCTGTGAGTAACCATAGGTTGTAGAGGCTCACACAGGAGGTGACATATGCACTTAACAAATTTCAACGTTTCATGAGGCTATGGCCAACAATCGAACACACATGCTCCTGGTGACACCTGTGAATGTTTAGTCAAACACTCAGCTGCTGTCACTCAAAAACTGACGCCTCCAGCCGCTGTCACTCAAATACAGACACGCCCACCCACCTACCGTCAGTCAAACAGATCCGCCTCTCCAGCTGCTGTCACCCAAAAACTGATGCCTCCAGCTGCTGTCAGTTAAACTCAGACATGCCTCTTCAGACTGGCTGAGAGGCAAAGGACTATTTTTGATATTTTTTTTTACTTGCTTTTTAATTATATACTATTATACAATTTAATAATAGACATTATTTTTGACTGCATGTGATGCAGCTGGACCAAAACCAAACCACAACTTAACCATACAGGTGGTTGTTCAAAAAAAAACTTTACTATCTAATGACCAGTTCTGTCAGTCAGGAGGACTGGAGTTGAGAGTTTTCAGTCACATATGTCTACACTTTGGGTGATTATGCACCACATTTTATTTGAACTTTTAGGCGACATGTTTGTACCTTCATCCTTATCCTTCTTCCTCTGAGCCTGTACTCTCCCCTCTGCCAGGTTCCAGCCTCCCTCATCCAAGAAGGATGGCCTCTGCAGCGAGACCTCCTTAAACAGCAGAGAGACACAGCTGGATACAGATGCTGAGGAGATCAGTGTGTCGGACAGTCCACAGGGTCCAGCAGGGGGCATGTTATTAAACCATAGACACCTGTTGGAGAAGGAAAGCGGCAGTAGCCTGCGAGGCTGGTCGTGGACTGTAGGAGAGCACTGCTACACCGCCCAGTGGGTGAAGCAGAAGCAGGAATATAGGAGCACCCGGCCCTGGTGACTGGGAGCTGGTTCTGTGACGATCATTCAAAGTTATACTTTGTTTAAATGTTTCTGCAAAAAATTGAAGCTTGGCCAAGTGCGGAAAGCTTTCATTTTTAATCTTTGCTCAAGGGCCCAATCTCTGCTTTGGATACATGCACTCCAAGTGTTGGTGGTTTTCTCCCTGGAGTATTGTGAGTTCTGTCTTGGCTGGTCTCCAAGATGAGTCAACCATTTCCTCGCTACTAGTTGACTAAACTGATGCTAGGAACCAAATATGGAGTGATTTCACTACAAAAGCCAACAGCCAAACCACGAGCACGAGTTGGTCTGAAGCTACATTAAAGCAGCAGCATTGAAGAAGGAGGAGCAGTGACTTCTGCTGGTGGCTTAAGGTTCCATGATACATCCAGTAGCTCTTGTGAGACAATGCCAGTCAGGGGGGTGAATTAGAGCTGAGAACAAGATGCTGTGTAAAGATTTCTGAACTTATCCCAAACTGACCCAGAGTCTGAAACAAAAACATTTATTAAAGCCCTTAGTTTGCTTTAAACCAAGAGCTTGTCACTGTCTTGACAGGGGGAGTGGCTGTGTCGTCTGTTACAAGTAGTACTGGTAGAATTTTTATTTTTATTTATTTATTTATTTTTTTTTGAGGTCTGGTGGATTTAATGCTGGCGACGCCTTGTGGCTGTAGCTGCTATTAAATGACCATGACATATGCTGAATGCCTTGATTAGCAACAGAATAAAAGGGTGCACCCCACCGAGCTCGGCTAAGGCTCTGTTCGGAGCTGGTATTAAAAGTTAGGTCTAAGTTCAGGTGTTAACGCACCTGAGAAGCATCTGAGTAAAACAGAATTTTAAAATGAAAACGATCTCTGTCCACATTAACACACTTGAAAACACATGACCTTCACATACACTGGGCATGCCGGAGACGGTTTAAACAGGAAATAGACTGTCTACTCTGCAGTTGATTAGCTGCAGAAAATACTACAACTGAGGAACAGTTTAATTGAACAACAGCTGCTAGCAAAGACAACAAGGTCAGTAACACTGTAATTCAATATCATATTGTATTCACCACTGTTTGTCTGTCCAGATACAACACAACCCCAGAGTTTTCAAAATAAAACCCAAACTCATTTCTGAAAGCCTCAGTTTTAGGGACTTGAAAACTCCACAGTAGGGTGGACACCAGGAGAAAACACAGAAAAAGTGATGAGTTTTAAAACTAAAACTTATTAGTGTGGAAGAAGCCTGAGATTTTACTCACTAAGACCACATTCAGAGGTGTTCTGGGCCACATGTGACCACATTCTTTTAGCAGTGTGAGCGTAAATGCATCCTGGGCCGCAGTGAAGGACGGCCTACTCTACTGACATCCTCTGACACAGTCTGTTTAGCCCCAACCATAGACTGTAAATAAAGATGGACGTAGCCTCTGTGACGTCACCCACAGGTGAAGAGCGGATTTGAAGCTCAGAGTGAGCTGCTCTACCGTCGCCATCTTGACAGTGACTGACTCCGCCCCTAACTCCCAGCTAATCCAAAAATGGACAAAGAGGAGGGGCGTATGTAGAGCTGAGACTTCGGTGCATGCTGGTTTGTAGCAAGCATACGCCTACCCACCTGTCACTCAGAGAGGCCACACCCTCAATTCTCCATAACTTTATTCTTTAATAAAGTGTCAACAGGTGAGTTATATAAATAGTCATCATGAAGGAGGAAACTAGTTCTAGAGACCAAAACTGTTTTTGTACCAGGCTCTACACGTTTATTGGACATTTTAACATGGGAGTCTATGGGGATTCCCCTGCCTCTCTCTCTTTCTCACACACAGAAACCCATTGACAACAGACCCGACTGGAGATACGTTAATGGCAGGTGTAAACAGGGCTTAACCTTCTGTCGTCACTGCACTTGTTCCCCTCTCTGTCCCCTGGAGGATTTGGCCAGCCGACTTTGGTCCTCCTCCCATTTCAACAATCTGTGCCCTGAGCTTGGTTCGAGTCCATTTATGTAAAAAGACATGTACACAAACTAAATGAAAACACTTCATGGATGAGATAATTTACTGTGTGTGACGTCTCAACAGAAGAGCTGCATTCTCAGCAACATGTCGCTCTCTGCTTGCGTCTGCCCTCTGACTTGAGGTTGAGCTTTACAACCTGCGACTGTGAAGACGGAGACTATCACGGCAGCCGTGGTGTTTGGTGTTTGCCTCAGTCGGTAACATATGACAATGAAAATGCTTTAGTCCAGACTCTTCACAAAATCCACTGGCATACAGCCATGGAATTACTTCCTGCATCTCAAATAGGTCGTGCCAGTGAAGGCTGTAGGCTGTGTCAAGAAATCCCATTCAGTTCAGCACCTAAACCTGCAGCCGTGTCCGTGGCCTTTCACCACATTTTTCTTGTGAAGCTGGGTGAACTGACCCTTTAGCTTGACTTTCCAAGCACGAGGAACCGCTGCTTATGTGCATCCACATGGAGTCACTTCCTTCAGCTGTGTCAGAGTCTGCTCTGCTGTTCTTTCAGAGGACCGAGCCGAGGGTTTTTCAGGCACATCGTTGTTCTGTCAAACTGAACCAAAGGAGGAAACACACCTGAATTCACAGTAGCTGTGAAATATGCTTTTAAACCAGTTGAGAAGCAAGTGAAAGCCAGGCTCACACAGTAGCTATCATGGCAGAGCAGTAGATTTTGGTACCACATGGTCCCACTGGTCCTGCAGAGAAAATTACAATCAAACCACCTTCAGAAACTGATCTAAAAAACATTTTCAAACAAGCTGCAAGGAGTATTTTTAGTTCGAGCTGCTCTCGCCATATGTCATCATCAGCGCTGCAGCAGGAGCACTGTGTAGTGCATGCTGGGATCTTTTATGGAGCATTTCTGTCAGTAATAGACCAGAAAAGCAACAGACTTGTTTATTTAGTCAGATCCAAACCCTGCTCTCCTTCGGCTATGACCCAAATGTTACTGCAGCAGCAGCTGCAACGGCTCTCAGCCCAAATGTCACTGAGTTTTCCCTCTGTGCTGGTCACCTGCAGCTGGGTTTCATTGTTTTGTTTTGGTAACTCAAGTTCCACTTATTGCCTTTTTTTGTGCTTTCAGTTGCATCCCATGGTTTTTATCATCAAACACAAGCTACATACTTAGTGTACACTCCGCCCACTGTTGATTTAATATTGAAGGTATATTTAATATCTTTATTATTAGCTGGCCAGGGAAAGTGCCTGACTACCCCAGGAGGAACTGGAGGAAGAGGCTTGGGGAAAGGGATTCTGGGTAACTGGACCCACAAAAGAGACAGAAAACACAAAGCCTGGAACCAGCTTCAGACTGTTTGCTCAGGTCGGCGACGCGTTCAGCATGTCTCTCTATCTGACTCAGTATCCCAGCAACCTCTGCATGAGCAGGGGTCGTCCCGCCCACACACACACGCACACACACACACACACACACACACACACACACACACACACACACACACACACACACACACACACACACACACACACACACACACACACACACCTGCATCTGCATGGCCACTGAAGAATCAACACACACATCAGACACATACAAAAGCAGGATTTTATTTCTTTCTCTTTAAAACTCTGGTGTGATTCTCTGTGTCTTTATGTTCTTCCTCGCTACATGAGGGTGTTTACATGTTTTCAGGCTAAAGCTGCTCAAAATACTCTGATGCAAATAACCCACTTCAATTACCCAGCTGCTTTCTGAGGATATTGTATGTGGTAACTGTAGGAACAGACTGAATCAGTTTCCTTGTCGACTCTCTGTGCTCAGCTTACCCACCTGTGCCATAGAAGTAACTCACATAGTACTTTGACCTTTTCTAGCCAAGAGCTCATTCTTGCTGAACTAGTTTTTCCTTTCTGTCAGCAGAGGAAACGCAGCCTGAGCTCACTGGACCGTGGGGACATTAAGTACTTACGACAAGGATGTTTAATGATTGAAACGAGAGCTGCATAGTTTCACGGGTCATGTAAAGTGAGGAAAGAAAACCACCTCAGCTCTGTTTTTCCAAACTCTCAGGACAGACCGTAGCTACTGCCGCAGCTCAGAGCCAACCAGCCAAATGAAGGATGCGTTTAACATCCTGGGAAATTAGCTTATTTTATTTAGGGTTAGCCTAGCTTAGCATAAGGACTGAAAGCAGGGGGAAACAGCTAACCTGGCTCTCCTCACCAAAGTGAAGAAATACAGCTACAACACTCAGAAGTTACTAATTAACGTGGTGTTTAATCTGCACACAAACAAAAATCATGTCAAAAAAGGAAAGGGGATTTTAGTGGGTATTTGTTGATTCGTTTCTTGACAAGCAGCAGTTTATCCAGCCGTGCTATGGAAGGATAAACTGTATATTTTAGTGTTTACATGAGGTGCCGCTGCAGTAATGTTTCCACCTACAGCTCACATCAGTAAAAAAATCAGATTAATAGCTAAACACAGCTTTTGGGCTCTGATGGCACCAAACCTGACAACCCTGCTGTGGTGACAAGTAATTCAGCTTCACAAGTGCTGGTAGCTATTTCCTCCTGCTTCCGGTCTTAAAGCTAAGCTAGGATAACAGTATCCTGGCTATCCTGACAGGTCAGCACTGAACACAGACATGTCAGACATGTTGATGTTGATCTGAACATCTCACTGAACTCATCTATGAAGTGGTTGATGCACTAATTTATCTGATTTACATGTCTACACACAGCATCCACTGAGCATCAACATTTGCTCCAGATATACTTTTCTTTGTCTTCTGAAGACGTTTAGTTTTATGATCTACAGTGATACAGGAAACGCTGGCTCCAGCGGCTCATCGGCATCAACCAGGTGAGTCATCATCCTGTGGCCTCTAGTCGGCCTCTCGGAGTAAGGAGAGGTAGACGTTGGACTGCAGGAAGCGGGGATAACAGTCTGTGTCCAGGAGCGAGTAGATGCGTTTCTGTGCGTGGGACAGGGAGGTGTGAGACGGCGCCTGCAGCAGCTGGATGGTCAGGTCTCTGGTCTTACTGTCCAGGTTCACCTGCAACAAGACAACACAGTGACTGCAATATAGTCTTTCTAAAATGAGGGTATTACAACTAAAGATTTGCTGTTTCAGTTCAGAACGTGTCGGTTTAGATGTTTCCAGTCTCTCGGCTTGTGTTTGGGACTGTTCAGACTTTAGAAAGGTTTACTCAGTATATCCTGCTGATTGGATTGTGACGAGTTTAAAGTGCCACTGTGTAGCTTAAAATAAATAACACAATCCTTCACTTACAAATGAAGTGAAGGAGTTGAATTCATGAATAATAAAACACACCTGTGTTTAAACTTAAAAAGTAAGAAAAAAACCCCAAAAAGTTCTGAAGCTCATCTCCTCTTACTTCCTGGTTGAGAAACCTGGATCAGGCCTTGAGCCCCGCCCACCACCTGCTTGCTCCAGGTGGACAGGTGAAAGAGCAGAGAGCATCAAGATGGTTAGAGGAGGAAACATCAGAGAGACTCAGCCACATGTTTGAGCCTCAGTCAGACCCAGACTCAGAGGAGGAGTCTGAGACCAGAACCAGAGACTAGCAGACGGATCAGAACGGTTAGCATAGTTAGCATCTTTTATTTGTTTATGGTGTTTGTTAGCTTGTAACTGGCAGTCGCTGACACAGTGTTAGTGGTTGTGCTAATGCTGACTCTCTCTCTGTACTGACAAGGTTTCAGGCTTATTTAGCCCCGCCCCCTGTCCCCACAAGTTGACAGGATTGGTTACTTGTTGATGGTTATTTCACTCATCATATGTCTTGTATTACATAAAAACATCATATTGATGTTAACATCAGAGGGGTCTTTAATCCACTTCTCTCAGGGGTCTTGCAGCCAGTCTTGTTTGGTCTGGTGTGACCAGACTAATTTTAGCTAAACAGTTGAATGGTTTTATCACAACTCTCCAGCAGGTCACAGGGTGGTGACTTCTTCAAAAGACCCAAAGAACTCACTTCCTCCATTAGCCTTTTCCTGTCAGCACTGGGGTCCTGCGTGAACACACTGTTTTCAGATGGAAGAAGTTGATGTTCCCTATCCATGCATTAATCAGAAATTGGCAACGTTTGAATCAGAATCTGGGGCCGGTTTCACAAAACACATTACGTTAAGATTTTCCTTAAAATCTGTGACAAGGTTTCCTTGAAATAAAAACAGTTGCACAGAACACCCTTAAGTCTTCTCCTTAAGGTTTCCTTAAAACGTTCACTTAAGTATTTAAGCGTTTCTCCTTATCTTAGTCTTATACTTAAGGAATCACTTAAATAGTTGCACAAAGGACCAAAATTCACTGTGGTGATGTTCCCATCAAAACAACAGGATGGGAGACAGGATGGGAGGATGGGAGAGCGGCTTCCCAAAAGTGATAAGAGGTATAACAAGTGTTAATGGCAGAAAACAAACAGTAGAATTTTACGACTGTAAAATCTCTTTTTTTCCTTAACTAAGGAAAACTTTTAAGAGATTCTGTGCAACACCCTGAAGTAACTCTATCAGCTAAGGGAAATGAAAAGGTCATTCTCAAGAAGAAAACTTAAGGTGTTGTGTGGGACCGGTCCATGATGACAGTTGGTGGGATGTCTGGTCACTGTCACTGTGTGATTAATCTCACACAGTCACATCTATCTCTACAGCACTGTGTCTAATGGGCTGGCTGCAGCTTCTGCTACAGGGGGAAAACACTCTGGCTTATTTGTATTTCTTTAAACAAATCACAATTATTGTGGGCGGCAAAACATGTTTTGGGGGAACATTTCCACATGTGGAGGTGAGCACTGTGATTAAAATGGCCGATTCCCTGCAATGAAAACGCCACAAAAAAAATACATAAAAAAGCATAAAAGAAGGAGATGCCTCCTGGAATAATGGCAGGCCTACACACAGTGAGTCAGACTGCTGTCTGACCAAAACACACAGTGGGCTTTTGTTTCCATCTCAAGTTTTCAGGGGAAGTCTTGTAAATTGGAGAGAAATTCACCTTGCATTTCAGCTCCCTGCACAAAGTATAGTCTTTCTTAACACCAGCTTTCAGCCCAGAGTAAAAAAAATTATATTTACATATATTAAAAATGTCTATGTGATGAATTTTTATATAGCACACATATGTTTTCTATATGTAAAACAACATTATATATTTAATTTATTTATGCGAGTTTATTGAAACTTGTTAAACACATGTTAAAAATCTATATGTTTATATATGTTTTTCTTATTAATTTCTCATTCATTTTAAACATGTCTCTTCACATTTTGGGAAATTGGTTTCAGACTTTTATAATGTCAGACTGTTTATAATATCAACACATACTGACAGGCTGTGGGATGGAAAGCTATTATATAACATATGTCTACAATATAAGCATAAATGTATATATTTGTACAGACTAGATATATACAGTATGTCAATATATATGTTTATATATAATCTTCACATACAGTATATGTACATATAAAATAGAAATGTATATTTCATATATGGAAATTCAATATATGTACATATATCACATTTGTGTGTGGGCAGAGGAGATTTCTTATTCTGGTTGAACTCCACATTAATGCAGCCACTGATGTTAGGCTGTGCGCAAGCTTCTGAAACACAAGGAGCTTCCAAAACACACCCAACACATCGTTTGGAGGCAAATGCATAGTTTGACTAATGAAACAGTTGAGAGTGAATTCAGTGGAAAGATGTGACAGGAAGAGAGGTAGCACAGGCAGCGAGACTGAAGATGAAAGCAGGTGCGTACCTCTCGGGAGGCACCTGGCTGGATGTAGGTGGTGCAGATGTCCTTGGCCCTCCTATGCAGGCTGAAGTTGTTGGATGAGTGCCTGTACTGTTCACAGGCCAGATAGAACTGCAGATTCTCCTCACTGAACTCAGAGCGCAGGAATGCTCCAAACACTGAAACACCAGCTGAGAGGAGGAGGAGGAGGAGGAGGAGGAGAAGGGGGTTAAGTGTGGCTTAACTCACCACGCAACATCACACTACAAGTAACAAGAGGACAACACCCACACACACACACAAACAACACTGATACAACCATCCCTCAGGCCTAATAAGGACATGACAAACACACAAGTGGTGTTTGACAGGATCGGTGCAAACGCTCGGCACACACCCGTCGCCTCACCAGAGTCAGTCTGAGTGGTCAGACATCAGCGACTGCTCCAAACTGCTGACACCACACGCACGCACAACATGTCACAGTTCACACACATCAGCTGCACAAGACAGCGCTCCAAATTAGCACGGCACTGATAAGGAGGCCAAGTCACACAGAGTGCTGGGGTCAGTCCTCAGGCAGCTCTCTGAACATGTGGCATCGCTGAAGTGCAACGATCACCTCCAAATAACAAATCTGAATGTCAGGAACGTGAACAATGAGCTTTACTTCATATCCATTGATATTAGACGTCTTTACAACAGCACTGTGTGACACATTCCTCCTCTTACACATGAAAAGTTGATTTAATGATCAATAAAACAATACGCTTCAGGAAAATAGGAAAAGTTACATCTTCTTTACAGGGTAAGTCTAGTGATGTTTTATATTTCTGTTATGGTCAAAAACCTCATGTGCAGCCAAACCAATAGATACTGTGTGTGTATCTGATTCATCTGAGCCACAGAGCTTCACTGTCTCCAGAGTATTCAAACACGTCACTGAGTCACTGTTGCAGTCCGTCATTACACACAAACTGTCCCTCTCCCACAAAATGAGCACCAAATTTGGGTTAATCCACCGCTGAAAATAGTCCCACACAAATGAACTATTCTCTCCCGTTTAAGTAATGTTTGTTATAAAACTACAGAGAGCAGCTGTTTGGGGAAATTACTGAGCCAATTTAAAACTGAAACTAAATACAGTTTCTGTGAGGTGTGGTCGGTGGGAATCGTTGAGCTTGGCTTAGACAGAGGAGGGAGGTCAGAAAAGTGTTGAGAGACCAAACGCATGGTTGGTTTTGGTTCTGGATGTATTTTTACTGCTTCGATTAAACATTTGTTTGTTTGAGAATTCACAAAATCAGGATTAGTTGTGAAACTGAATCGATTTATGAGGTAAAATTCTTCTCATTTCGTTTTCAACATCGGTTGCAAATACAGCTCCTGAGTTTTATTGACTTTTATCTAGTTTTATGTCACATACATTTTTTACAACTCTATATTTGAACCAGATGAAGGATTGTAGTCATCAAACATCTGGATCTGAAGTTATCAGAGAAACAAGCTGAGGAAATGTTAGACATCTTTAATCGCTTGGACAGGTTTGAATCCCCTGGGCTGTTTGTTATGGAGAGGAGGAAACCTCTGTGGATAATTCAGCTGCTGGTAAAAACCTCCTGAACGTCTGCTTCATAAGTTATCAGAGAAACAATCGGAACAAAAGTTAGCATCAATCTCAGATTGCAGCATCTAAACAGGCAAGGCAACCACTTGAGGCCCCTGAGGGCTGACAAATTTTACTCCACAGCAATGTCTCAAAATTTGGCTCACTCCTCCTTAAACAACCAATAGTAGTAGTAGGAAACAGTAGGAAACCTGTCTAAAGGAGCCCCATTTAGATTAAACACAATGGGGATCAGTGGTTGGTCATTAGGTACGCCCATTCACAGCTCATTTATGTGTCTGTCTGGCTGCTGATTGGTCGACTGAACGTGCTGCTGCTCGGTCCCGCCCACTGAACACTGTCAGTCCAGAGCTACATCAGAGCCTGAGGAGAGGAGATCAGAGGAGGAGGTCAGTCCAGAAAGTCTTTATATGCTGCTAACTGAAAAAAAAAGTAGCTGAAGGGTTTAAAAAGTCGCCAAATCTAGAGAGAAAATCACGGAGTTGCCGACACCACTCTGTAGTAAACCCCCTTAAAGGGTCTTCATGTGTTGATGAGCACTGGTCTCATAAGGTGGATTATTTACAATGTGACAATGTTGAAGTGAGTTATTTATTTAGGTTGTTATTGTTCTTTATATTTTGAAAATTCTACTGACGTGGACATTTGAAATAAAAAATTTTTAGATTTTGTGCATTTTTCATTGATGTCAGATTATTTACATAGTGGTGATGATCACTGATGGGAGGGGCCCCCTGCTGATTTTTTGCCTACAGGGCCCCACCTGACTCTAGAAACTCCACTGGACTCAAGCAAGTCTGACGTCTCAGCAACTTCACACTGTGTTTTATGAATGGAAACACATTCAGATAAAACACCAGAACAAGCTCTGAGCAATGATGAGCAGTGATGTGAAACACATTGTCCCCTGGCATTCAAAATATGCTGTAGTGCCGACTATGTTATCAGGGTGTTCAATCAGGGCCTGGACCGATTCAGCTGCTATGGATGACAGTACGAGTATGTCAGTAGATACTGGAGGAGAGGAGAGTGCTGAGCTGGCGGAGGTGCAGGTTTGATGTCAGACTGGTCAAACATCCTCCAGCTGCAGAGACTTTCAGACATACTGTCGCGGCAGTGATGTATAAGTCCTGGTGTTACTAACCTGTTCTATTCTAGAACTGCAGCGGGTCGGTGGTGGTGGTGGTGTGTGTGTGTGTGTGTCGTTCGTGGGGGGGGGGGGGGGTCAGGGAAGTGCTGGTTACAGTGCAGGTCACAGTAAGCGTTGACGCAGAGACAGATCTGACTTTCAGTGGCTCAAACATCTTCGGCCGCGGCAGAAGTGGTCAGAGGAGTTCAGGTCGGAACCTCTTATGAAAAGTGCAAGAGATTAAAAAAAAAAACAAACTACCATCTAACTGTAGCTGTAAGTTCCTACATGCGAAACATGCTGCCCAGTGTCAGAGCTCTGTCTCCTCCAACAGGAGAATGACCCAGAACATGAGAACATCATCTACTAGAGTCACCGCCTCCGCCGACCAGCCAAGTTACAGGAAACATGGTCACAAGTCAACGTTTATGCCACAAAAGAAGTTCCCTCAAGGTGTTACTGAGATGTCACGTTCACAAGAATGAGACGGAAGACCTCAAGAACTACTGCCTCCTCAGGCCGGTTGTACAAAACACCTTAAGTTAAGATTTTCCTTAAAGTCTGAGTTAAGATTTCCTGAAAATAAAAACAGTTGCACAAAACACCCTTTTATTGATACCCTTCTCCTTAGGGTATCAATAAAATGTTCACTGAAGTATTTCAGGTTTTCTCTTTAGTCTTACACTTAAGGAATCACTTAAAGTCAGTTGAACCGTTGCACAAAAGACCTTAGCAGCCAAACTAAGGAAAAAACCAAAAGGTACCTCTTATGGTGATAAATGAAGAAAATGAACACATTACAAGAAAACTTCTACAGTTGGATCACTCTGCTTTCCGCAGGTCAATGATCGCTCCACAGTTTTAAGCCACATGATCTTTCCGGTCAGGTTTAGTCGAGGTGTTTCATGTCTGTCTGTAAAATCTCTTTCATTGCTGCAAATGCCCCACCTTTTTTTTTTTAACTAAAGAAACCTTTTAAGAGATTCTGTGCAACACCTTTAAGTAACTAAAACGTTAAGTGTCATACTTAAGTAGAAGTTTTGTGCAACCGAGCGTCTTTGGAAGGAGCTGAGAGTTGCAGCTGGGGGAAGGAAACCCATCAAACCTGAGAGAACCTGAGCAGTTGACTCAGGAGAGTTCAGCCAAACTACCAGCTGAGAAGCACCATCCTAAGTCCATGTCAAAGCAGCGACTCGGTTCCATTAAATATGGGATCAACAATATTTGATGCCAGTCACTTTTGTCCGTTTCAACTTATTTCTGAGTAAATTGTGGGAGGGTTTAGGGTTCCTCTGGACCAGGGCGTATGACGGACACACAGACAAACCTATCAGATGACATTGCCAAACTCAGGCCTCACATCTACAGAGCTCTGTATGAGCACCCGTGCCTCTGGTTTGTTCCGTGATTTAAATGGAAAATAATAAACTTCATCAGTTTGCACTCCAAAAAAAAAAAACTTATTTTACCTCCACCAACAAGTACTTCAGTCAACCAGTGACATTCAGTGGGACACAGCAGGACTTACTTTGGCTGGCCAGCAGGGTGTCCAGGGACTCGGCCCACTTCTCCAGCTCTTCTTGGCTGATCTTCCTCTTCTTGCTGTGGCCCACCTGACTCCACTGACGCATGAAGAGCAGACGAGACCTCCTCTCTGTAGCACTGTGGACCGGGACCAGAGAGGGACAGGGAGAGGTGGTACCAACAAATACCGCTACCATCACGTCCAAGAGCCGATGTCAGGACGACAGCTTCACAACACTCTCGTGATGTAATAATACAATACTAACTCGCCAATGTGGTCACATGGTTTTCGGGTTATGTTTGTCCAAAACAGTGAATGATATGTCTTCAGTGTGGTGCAGAGATCATAACGGAAAATCAGCAGAATATAAGTGTGATTCTCACCTGTCTTTCTGTTCTGCATTGCTCAGGTTGGAGTTTGAGGAATGAGGACTCTGAAACAGAAAGCACACAGTTAGCTGGAGATCTCCCACCAGTTCAGCTCTGAAACCCCGGCAAAGCCTCTCTCACTATAAAACCTTCCAGCAATTACAGTCCTGGTCAAACTGATTCATTCGCATTTATTTCTGTAGATATTCTGAACCTTCATGTAACATGTGCCTCTAGCATGTTACATTAACCCTTGTGCATCCTTAGGGATGTTTCTGTCCTTTTCATTTTTGATGTTTTGATTATTTCTACAGTGTGCAATGGCAAATACATTTTTCCAAGGGTGTGTATTTTTGGGGGGATGTTGGAAATTCCACCTCAGCTCCTGTGATATGTCTCTAATACACTGTGTACACAACATAGTTACACTCAGGACCTTAAGGACAAAAATGTTGAAGCCCATTAAAACTGCAATTTTTGATCTCTCTGCCATTACAACATAAAATCACACTATCTATTTTATTAGGCTTTCAATCTAAATTCCTGGCTCCAAAGTTTTGACTATTTTCTACCAGATGAAGGAATATTTGGCCTCAGGAGCAAATACATACATTGGCACTGTAGACCATTGAAATATGTATGCATCTAAAATGGTGTGGGTGATTTGGTATGGATGTCAGAGTGTGGTGTGCATGTGTATATTGAGAAATGTGTGTGTGTGTGTGTGTGTACAGTTAGCGAGTGAAAATATATTATACTGCAGATCACAATTCCGACCTCCCAGTCTCTTTTCCTCTCTCTCTCTCTCTGACACACACACACACTTTTACCCACTGACCCACTCACACACCCAAGCACATATTTGCAGGTGCATGTGCAGGCCTTCAAACTAAATAGAATATAAAACATTAAAACTTATACGCACAGTACATTTCTGTTTAAGAGTTACTGTGTGTGTGTGTGTGTGTGTGTGTGTGTGTGTGTGTGTGTGTGTGTGTATGTATGTGTGTGTGTGTGTGTGTGTGTGTGCATCTTTGTAGGGTGTACTAGGGTGCCTTTATGCAAATGTATGCAGTTACATGTCCATATAACCCGGGAGCAAGTGGTTTTAACTGCATTATTATTGTGATAATCAAAAAAAAAATTTCCACTAAGCATTTAATGTATGGAATATAATTCGTTTTTTTCATAAAAAACAACCGTGGCTTTATGTAAACAAACTGGGATTTAAAGGGTTAAAATGAAAATGATTGAATATTTGGTAGTTATGATGAGGACTGGTGTTGCATAAAAAATGAATTCAGTGAAAGTGGAATATACTTTTATCATAGTTTTTTTGATGCTGAAATTTTTGTCCTCCTCTGTGTTTTATCATAGGAGCTTTCAATTGTTACTATATCTAATAGCAAAATCTTGTGAGTAATTTTATCTTTATTTCTTTGTTGTAAAGAATACATATTTGTGTCATTTTTGATGTTATTTTATATCTCATATTTAGTGCTAGGTTACACAGTGTCCATGGTAACGATGCAGCTATATAGAGTCGATTACCGGAGGAACAAGTCAGACCAGGCTTGTATCCCCTTGTGACGTAGGAAACTCTGACTGTCTGAATCTGTTTTTATGAGACTGTCATTGGTTCACTGCAGTTCAAGGTGGAAACACTCATTCATGGTGCTGATGATTATTTCTCTCATCATATGTCTGTATTACACTGCTCAAAAAAATTAAGGGAACGCTTAATTATCTTAGTATAACACCAAGTCAGTTAAACTTCAGGGATCTCAATCTGTCCATTTAGGAAGCACAAGTGATTGTGAATCAGTTTCAGCTGCTTTGGTGAAAATGAAAGTGACAACAAGTGCAATGGAGAGGCAACAGCAAGACAACCCCCAAAAAGGGAATGGTTTTACATGTGGTGGCAACAGACAGTTGCTCTCTCCTGATTCTTCCTGACTGATTCTTCTCTAGTTTGTGTCCTTGTCACTACTGGTAGCATGAGGCTGTACCTGCAGCCCAATCAGGTTGCACAGGTAGTCCAGCTCCTCCAGGACGGCACATCCATACGAGCGGTCGCAAGAAGGTTTGCTGTGTCTCCCAGCACAGTCTCAAGAGCATGGAGGAAATACCAGGAGACCGGCCGTTACACCAGGAGAGCTGGACAGTTATGCTGCCTGTAACATCATCCAGCATGAGCGGTTTGGCGGTTGGTCAGTGATGGTCTGGGGAGGCAGATCCTTAGGGGGTCGCACAGACCTCCATGTCACAGCCAACGGTACCCTGACTGCTGTTAGGTACTGGGATGAAATCCTCATCAGTGATTGTCAGACCTGACGCTGGTGCAGTGACCCTGGGTTCCTCCTTGTGCAGGACAACTGGATGATAAAGGCATTGATGCCATTTCTGGCACTCACGTTCCCCTGACCTAAATCCAGTTGAGCACCTATGGGACGTTTGCATCAGTGCATCCAACACTGCCAAGTATCGCCACAGACAGTCCAGGAGCTCAGTGATGTCCTGATCCAGGTCTGGGAGGAGATCCCCCAGGACACCATCCGCCGACTCATCAGGAGCATGCCCACACGTTGTTGCGAGTGTATACAGGCACGTGGGGGCCTTACACACTACTGAGTCACATGATGAGTTGGATCAGCCTGTGATTTCAATTTGTTACTTTGATTTTCAGTGTGATTGTGAATCCAGCCCTCAGTGGGTTGATGATTTTGGTTTCCATTGACTGTTGTTATGTCATTTTGTTCTCAACACATTATACAAAGTACATCAGTAAAGACTTTCAACTTGAATAATTCTTCATCAAGATCCAATGTGTGATTTAAGCATTCCCTTCATTTTTTGGAGCAGTGTATATAAAAACATCATATGGATGTTAACATTGGAGTGGTCTTTAAGATGGAAGACTCCACATCAACTCTTGATCTCACACTATAAACTATAACCCTGATTGTGGACTAACATCTGTGACTGTATACATATACAGTATGTGTGTATATATATATATATATATATATATATATATATATATACTATACACACTTTTAGGACTGGAGGGGCAAATAACAGCAGCATGTTTGTATGTTGGTGTTAAATTGATCCATGTCCAGTATTACAGATGTGTAGCTGTTGTGTTTGATCTAACCTCCAGTACTAGAGATTTTTGTCTTTGTCTTTTCAACTCTAAATCATATGTACAGTCACTGTATGTATGTTTATGTTGGTTAAACTGTTAACGGTGAATTAACCAATCAAGTTAAAGCAGCAATAATCAATATTTCACTTTAAGAATGGGTTAAATCACTATGTGTAATGTGAAAAGTGTCACCAAACTCTTTCAGCTCATTGTTTTGGTTTCCCAGCCTTCGACTTTACTGTTCCAGCTGCACACAGCTGTTTGATGAACGCTAACGCTGCTGTGTGTCTGCTGAATGTGTTTGCTAACATGAGCACAGATCACAACTTTTCTACAAACGCGTTTCAGTTGCAGTTTTGTACAAAATAGAAGCGATTTCTTAGAAAAGTCAACAAAGCACAGTAGTGAATGTTCTGTGTTTCCACTGAGTGATGTCATGTGAATGAAGCTGGGTTTTCTCCTCTCACGATATTGTCACAATTTAACATGGCGACAGATTTCCAGCAGTTTGCCTCTCTGTTGGAACTGTGTTTCCATTTCAATTTTGCTAAATATTGTTTTGTGAAAAAGCACCTCAGGTGAGTGTGTAGATTTTTTTGGCGACATTTGAGAGTTATTTTTGAAATTCAAGTGTTTCCATTTCTGGTTTTTAGGCTTGCAGTTTCAAATTGCGCATTAAGCAGGTTAATGGAAACGCACCTACTGAGAAATCTGTGAACATCATACCTGCTTTTACTCTAGTCAAAGTTTTAAGCCTTTTACTCACTCACTACCTGACTCTAACAGGTCTCTGCAAATCCATTTTATAACACACTGAATCTAGGACCTTACAGGAGGCAGCAGTAAGATAACGTTTGCTAAGATTTGGACCAAATGTTCAAGCCTTTAATATGGATAATGTACTTTTAAAGACTCCTGGCTATATTCTGCTGTACAGTGCTGAAACTTAATGTCCCACCTGCCCAAACAGACTCCTGAGGTGCAGTTTAGCAGCTGACAGTTTGGGTTTATGTTGGTGCCTGTGATGGGATATGAAGGAGAATGGGTTGGAGGAGGACGTAGGAGAGGAGGGAGGCAGATCATTTCTCTCCACACTCTCAGTGCTGCCCTGGGCGGCCGGGGCCAGCTGGCTGTCACTGTAGGCCCTGCAGCCCTCACTGATGACACACACTCCAAGGTGGCTCTTGTCCAGTTTACCCAGCTCACTCAGGTTCTCTGTGCTGACGCTGAGGTCCTTGGTCAGCTCCCTCTTGCCCCCCTCGCCGGCACTCGCTCTGGGCTCCTGGATGGCGGGCGTCATGCTGGTTGACCTCCTATACGCCTCATGTTCCTCCATGTGAGGTGTGTAGGTGCCAGTATCCCGGTTCTTCTCATAATCTGTGTTCTTCAGTGCCACCCTCTTCCACGGAAGGAAGTCGAGGTCCAGGAGGGATCCCTCAGAGCTGAATCTACGCATGGTGGCTGTATGAGTAGTGATGGAGACGTGGAGGAAAAGGAAGTGCTGCAGAAAAGATAAAAAAGACAAGTAAAAGGCAGAAGTGAGGGTTAAGAGGAAATGAGAGGTGCAGTGGAGCACGGCCTGTTGAATAAAGCGGAGAAGGAGGTCGAGGAGAGAGATAATTTGATTATGAGTCACAGAAACTACAAGTTGCTCCGCTTTCCAGTTTCTATTCACTATACCCTCAGTGAGCACTTTATTAGGAACGGCACACAGACACTGGGTAGTTCCTCAGTTTTTCATGTCATGGATCCACCAGATGTTACAGCTTTCCTCTGCTCCATGTTGACATGATGCATCACATCATTTCATTCATGCTGCCAATCTCCTGTTCTACCACACCCCAAAATGTGTTCTACTGGATCCAGGTCCGGAGACTGGGGGCGACACTGAAGGTCACTGAACCAGTTTGTGACATGGAGCATGATCCTGCTGGAAGGAGCCATTAGAAGATGGTGAACTGTGGTCATGAAGGATGAACATGTTCAGCAACAATACTCAGATAGACTGAAACATTCAGACCATGATTGATTGGTATTAAGAAGAGAACATTCCCCACACCATCACACCACCACCACCAGCCTGGACTGTTGACACCAGGCAGGTTGGTCCATGGATTCAGACTCTGACTCTTCCATCTGCTGCCTCAGCACAAATCCAGATCCATCAGACCAGGTCTTCAGCTGTCTGCTCAGCACACATCAGTCATGTCAACATGGAGCAGAGCCTCAGAGGAAGTTTCAGCATCTGGTGGATCCATGACATGAGGAAGTGTGCCGTTCCTAATAAAGTGCATACAGTGTACATATATACATTGCTGGTTTTGTTCATCAATCCTCAGCCATTAACGCTTAATGACAAATTTTTGCAAATGCATTAAAAATCAAAATCTGAATACAAAAGTCTTCAGACCCTTAATTCAGTTCTTTGTAGGAGCCCCTTCAGCAGCAGTTCCAGTGTCAGCCTTCTTGAGACTCAGACTGGACAGGAAGTGTCTGTGAACTGGCCCCCTCAGGTCTCTCCACAGATGGTCTATGGGATTTAGGTCTGGAGTTTGTCGGGGACACTCAGGGACAGTAGGAGACTGGTCCTGAAGAGTCTCCAGTGTAGTCTTGGCGGTCTGGTCTTTGTGGAGATGAAAGGTGAAGTCTCAAGTCTCCTGGACTCTGGATCAGGTTTTCTTCTGTATTGGTCTCATTCATCCTTCCCTCTGGTCTGAAGACTCTCCCTGTCCCCACTGCTGAGACACCCCCCACCTCCACCACCACCACCACCTCCACCCCAACCCCCCAACCCCACAGCATGATGCTGCCCCCCATGCTTCACTGGGATGGTGTTTATAGGTGCTGAGCAGGACCTGGTGTTTGGAGTCCAGGGAGTCTGGTTCCTCCTGGTCTCATAGTCTTTAAGGTCTGTCAGTCAGACTCCAGCAGCTCCATACTTCTTTGACTCTCAGTGTCTCTGTCTCGTCTCTTGACCATAAAGATCTGAATGATGCTCGTCCTTCCAGCAGCTTCTCCATCTCTGCAGAGGACTTCTGAAGCTCCCTCTGACCCAGGTCCTTCTGACCTGCTCCCTCAGTTTGTCTGGTTCTCGTTCCCACTGTTCTCCTGGGAACACTCAGAGCTTTGTGTTCTCTGTCTCACCACAGTTTGATCACAGAGGTCTACAGAGAGTTCACTGGACTTCATGGTCTTTGTCCTGCCCTGCAGGTGAACTGTGGGACCTGATACACACAGGTGTGTGTCTTTCTAAACTCTGTCCAGTCAGCTCAGGTGGACTCCAGTCCAAGTCTAGACTCATCTCAGAGATAATTAAAGCAAACAGGAAGTGGCTGACCACATTCTGGAGCCACAGTGAAGAGTCTGAAGACTTTGGTAAATGAGAGATTTCAGTTTTTGATTTTTAATCAATGTTGTCATTAAGGGTTATTGAGGGTAGACTGAAGGGCAACAATGGCAATTTTATTGATTAATATTAAATCTACAACAATACAGGGTGAAGGCATGTGGACATCAATCATAGATTCAGACAGCTGGTGTAAATTACAGTTTGTATCCAATAACTATGGAAGCACATTTACACCAAGTAAAAAAAAACCCAGATGAAACAGCTCAGAAAGGATGACAATAAGAGAACATTATGAGAGAGGCTACTTGGTCAAATTCTGGCTTACTATGTCAGAATTATGGTTTAACATGAGTATTTTCATAATTCCTAACAGCAGTTTTTCTTCTTTTTCTGGTGCAACCTTAATAAATAATATATTAAATAATATTTAAAAAGTCAAACTTAGGCTATAGAGAGTAACTAAAATTATTAAATAATAAGCAAAATGTGACATCAAGTCTCTTATTTCACAACGTTTCGACCTAAACTGTTATAACTTTTACTCAACGACTCATAATTGTAACTTTAAAACTCATATAGTTTTGTTATGTTCCTGGCGGAATTGCGTCGCCATTAATACTGACTGAAAACGTGAAAATAAACACGGTCATTGTTAACAGCAGAACTGTCAGCTTACGGGAAAGTGACCGTGAATGTTATCACTGTGCCAGTTCATATGTTTCAAATCCACCCCTCATATAACCTACCTTTGCTCACCTCTGCGGTGATAAAAACAACAGCTGACATTTGGACTCATGAGGACTGAGAGTGCCAACGCTCTGCTGTGGTTAATTAACGCCTTGCAGCGTGTGTTTACCTCTTTGCCCAGCGGTTAAGCTCTCTCCATGGCAGATCGTTAGGTTTCTCCAGATCTCACGAGTAACATGTGCCTGAACTGAAGGCAGTGGATCCAGCAGTACCAATACAAGGTCCTGAAAGAAAGAAATCCAACCTGTGGTGCTCCTGCTGCTGCTGCTGCTGCTGCTGCCTCCAGATTTGTTCTCAGCTTGGCCAGCCGCACCTCAGACCTCCCTCCTCTTACAACGCGTTCATACGCTCACACACATGAATTCAAAGGGATCGCGGAAGGAAGACAGACATCAGGAAAAGTTCCACAAACTTTCCACCAGTGACATTTGAATGGCTCAGACGGGCCTCCCCCTCCTCATGACTCCTGCCACACCTTCACTTCTGTCTCAACTTGTTCGTCAGACTGACGCTCCTGAGAGGAGCCGCCTGCAGCATGCACACACACACACACACACACACACGCACACACTCACACACACACAGAGGATACAGTTTGATGGAGACAAGAACACTCAGTGGGTGTTATGTTATTAGAAAAGTCTGAACAAAAGAATAAAACAGTACTACAACAACCGATAATAGTGCATGTTTAATATAATATATATAATATATATATATTTAATAATTTCAATTTATATATTATTATTATCATTATCATTATTATTATTATTATTAATACTACTAATAATAATAATATTAATAATAATAATTCGTTTATTTGTTTTTCCCTCTAAAATGGAAATGATTTGTATTAGTTGTGAAAATGGAAATAATTAGCATGACAAACACAAACACTTAAACACAAAGTGACAGCTATCAAACTATCAAAACACAGCGCTCAGGCATGACACAGGCGCCTCTCGTCTACGTCGTCGGGGTCCTATGACGTTGCATTCAGTACCGTGGTTTATTTAGGGGTTTATTTAAGCTAGTTAGCTAACGGATCAACCTGAATGCGCACACACTCAGAACAACAGTTTCATTTTTTTTTCAATTGCCTCGGCTGTGGAAATAGACTCCAAATCAAAAGTACTACGTCAAACCGGTTTCCCGCTGAACGTGGACAACGATCTCCTCTGGGAGATTAGCTTGTTATCGCTCTTAGCCTCCCGGTGACTGGGATTAGCAAACGTTAGCTATCTAGCTAACAAGCTAATAACAACAACAAGGCTCCGGAGCTGTCTGAAAGCAGGTGCTGGCTCATTATTTTACCACGTTTATTAGTTGGATGCAAGATAAAGGTTACTAGCTTTATGAAGTAGCTGCAGCTTGGTTCCTCTTTCCCCCATTTCCCATGTCAAAACTGCCCCTAATGCACAATAGTAAACAGTGGATGGCTAAGGCTCAATTTCCAGCTCTAACTTTATTATTTTCACACATTCAGAAATATGGCAGAGCCCAGCGACATGATTGAAGTCACCGTGAAGACTCTGGACTCCCAGAGCAGGAGCTACAAAGTCAGAGGCGAGGTAATGCTCTTACTCTGATTTAAATACTGCTCTGTTTAGACTCCCCCGTCCCCTTCCCCTCCCGTTTCAATGCAAGGTAGTGTGTTGTGTGTTGTCCCCCAGCTGACTGTGAAGCAGTTCAAGGAGCACATCGCATCCTCAGTGGAGATCCCAGTAGACAAGCAGAGGCTCATCTACCAGGGCAGAGTGCTGCAGGATGACAGAACACTAACTGAATACAGTGAGTAAATGAAACGGTGCGCATAGTGCTGCAGCAAGGTTTGGGATGAACAGTGAATGTGTTTTTCTAACCTGCTGAGGACAGGGAAGTTTATTTTTGCTTTTGACCTCAGCAGTGTCAAAATATGATATTTGTATTTCTGTGGTTAGCCGGTTAAGATATATTTTTTATTTATATTCTTTATTGCATTCCCTTACAGTGGTTATTTCTCAACAGAACATCAACTCCATGATATTTACAGCATACAGTATACCCTTCATATACCCCATATATATATATATATATATATATATATATTACCTTAGCTGATCAAACTTAAATTTAGGAAGATAAATAAATTAATAAAAATAAAGAAGAGCGAGAGAAAAATATTATAATGAATAAAACAGTTTTAACTCATTTTAAACAATATAGCTGTTCTTATTACTTTCTCTCCCTCCGCTACCCCTTTCCCCCTCACCCTTTATTTATTACACTAATCCTGTCATTCATTATCTCCATTTTATTAATTTCGTCAATTGTGTCCTTCCATTTGCTTAATTGTGGTGCCGCTGACTTCAGACAATTTTTTGTTATTTGTTTAAGTGCTGCTACTCTTAATATTCTAAAAAGATGTTTATCAGTTTGTTGAGGAAGTTGCCCGTTGAAATAGATGTAGCACCACTTTTAATGTGGATTGGCACTAAACCTTTTCACAGCTGTCAGTTAAACATGTCAAAATCAGGAGGAAAGAAAAACCTCAGCTGCTGCATTATATTTGCAATAATTGCAGTTAGTAAAGCAGTTAGGTGGAAGTGAAACAGCTGAGCACCAGGACTAGAATACTATGTGATGCAACTAATGGTTATTGCTTAATATTGATTTTTTTAAAAGTTGGTCTATGACCCAAAAAAAATAATAATTAAAAAGGGGCGTCGCGTAGCGCAGTGGGTTACGCAGGCGCCCCATATATAGAGGCTAAGGTCCTCGCTGCAGGTTCGGTTCAACTCCCGCTTCGGACGGCCCTTTCCTGCGTGTCATTCCCCCTCTCTCTGCCTCCCCATTTCCTGTCTCTCTACTGTCCTGTCCATTAAAGGCACAAAAAGCCCCAAAAAAAAAAAAAATTAAAAGTGGGTCTATGAAATGTCAAAAATAATGACACATTACTGTTACAAATGATATACTTTTACATACAACATAATAATAATACAAATAACTTTATTTATATAGCACCTTTTAAAAACATAGTTTACAAAGTGCTTTGATAAACAAATCAAAAGCAGTGATAGTCAAAAGCAGGACAGAAATAAGGTAGAGTTACAGAGGAAGTGCAAACAGTATGCTTCAATGTAAATAAGGACGATTAGATGGAGCAGATGCCGTATAGAAAGACTCAAACACGCACACCTGCAAACACAATGAAAAGGTGATTTGGAGGTGATAAAAAGACGACATCACATAAAGGCAAGTCTGTAAAAATTAGTTTAGGGAAGTGATTTAAAAGAAGTTACTGATTCTGCTTCATCTCCTCAGGCAGGTCATTTTAAAGCCGGGGGTTCCTGATGGAAAAAGCACAGTCACCTTTAGATTCAAGCCTCGACTTCGGAACAGTCAGAAGGGCCCCGCCCGAGGAACTAAGGATCAAAGCGCAAATAAAATACTGAAAATGCCGGAGATAGTTCATTTATCATTTACAATAGAATAAAGCAGTAAATGTTTTTACAGTATCTAATGGAGCATCCCTGTGTTTCTCCCTCAGATGTAGATGGGAAGGTAATCCATCTGGTGGAGCGTGCCCCACCTCAGGCCACCATGTCCGGCTCTGGGGGTATGGGTGTTTCCTCCGGCGGGGCAGAGGGCAGCGGTAGCCACGCCGCCTCCCAGGGTGCACCGCATGACCGCAATGCCAACAGCTACGTGATGCTGGGGACCTTCAACCTGCCCGTCAACATCATGGACCCTCAGCAGATACAGGTGGGCATGAACGTACTGCACGCAAACCGAAACCCTCACTGTGCTTTTTTCTGAAGGGAAGAACAGGTTCATGCTTTGTTACAGCTGGGATTTGTCTTGTAGATGTCAGTTCAGCAGATGATGGCTGGAGTTGGCGAAGCTGGGAGGAATACCAGGGTCAGCACCAGCTCTGGGGTAAAGGCTCATTAATCACAAGTCATCATTTCATCAGTGTCTTTAGCCTTTCCGTCTCTCCCTTCCTGTAAGGTTGACTCGTGTTTGTATGTGCAGAGCAATGGCTCGGTGGACGTGCAGATCAACTTGGACCAGTCAGTGCACAGTGAGCCCAGGATGAGGCTGCAGCTGGCTGAGAACCTGCTCAGAGACGCTCGCTCTCTGATCCACAGACTGGAGGTCCAGTATACTCGCTGCTTTTGACACTCACTGTCATTCCTCACATGTCAAAGCCCGGTCATCACACGCTCACTGATCATTTTCACAATAGGTTGTTCTACTCAGAACTGTCAAGACTCTGTTACTACTGTGTATTTTCTGTTTATGTATGTCCTTTTAATTCTGGCACTACAGCTCCCATCATGCTTTAGGTGATGTAAACATCAGACATACTGTAAGCATCACAGTTATTTATTTATTTTTTGTGATGGGAGATAAAGACAAAGAAAGTGATAACAAAACAAGACGTAACATAAGATAAGATAATGTAACATGATGGCATACACTGTTACAGAGAACACCTGCCAGCTTTTTGTTACCGCTATAGATTTAGATATATGACTTGTATATATTTTGATTTATTGAGAGGGAGAGAGAAATAGAGAGAGAAAAAATTTGTAGAAAATAAATAAATAAATGAGGTGTTGATGTTGCTGGTGTTGACTAGATGTATTTTTTTGAAGTTTTTTCTTGGGCATTTTTGCCTTTTATCTTTGCTGCAGTGAGAGAGAGAGAGAGAGAGAGAGACAGGAAAGTTGATGAGAGAGAGAGGGGATGAAATTCAGCAAAAGGCCTTGGGTTGGACTGGAGCCCGGGCCACTGTGGTTAGGACTGAGCCCGACCCACAGGACATGTTTTGAGACAGCAGCTGAAGCACAGGGGAACTACAGACACTGGAAAAGGATGAAAGTTCAGTGGACTTGATGCTTCTCTGAAAGTGATGTAAAAGGCGGTGAGGATCACCTGTCACCTGCTCTGCTGTGCAGCCAGTAACAGTAATGATGTCGGTACTGGAATGTGACACAAGTGTTTTAAAAGGGGAAATAGTGACTGTGCATCACGCACATTTAATGTAATCTACCCAGTCTAATCATAACATCCAGTACATTTTATTCTCAGAGTCTATCCTCTCACATGTCACTATGACTTCATCCATGATATCATAACTGTTTTCCTCTTCAAATTAAGACTTTTTAAAATATAATTTCTTTTTTTTCTGGTAAAGTTCTTGTGATTCCAGTGTATTTCTAGACATTTTACATAATTTAAGTTAAACTTATTTTTCAGGCATTTTTGCCTTTATTGTGATAGCTGCAGTGAGAGAGAGACAGCAAGGTGAGAGAGAGAGGGAGAGTGGGAGAGAGGATGACATGCAGCAAAGGGCCACTGGCCTGACTGCTGCGCTTAGGACTTAGCCTTCATGTGCTCTTTAACAACTTTCTTCTCAAAATCTCATATTTGTTTTCCTGACAGCGGCTCCTATAAGATAAGATAGTCCTGCATTAGTCCTGAAGTGGGGAAATTTGCAGTGTTACAGCAGCAATGTGGACAGTACAAAAGAAATGCAAAATGAAAATATTTCTAAAAATGTATAAAATACCTGATAGCACAGTGCATGAGAGAAAGTCAGCGAGAGAGTCAGAGAGAGAGAGTTAGAGAGGATGATGTGCAGCAAAGGGCCACGGGGTGCACTGGAACCCAGGACACCGCGGTTAGGACCAAGCCTATGTGGTACGCACTCCACCAAGTGAACCCCTGTTTGTCAGTCTTTGTTGTGTGAGGTCACTGAGTGCAGTTTGTTGTACAGTCTGACGGCAGCAGGAAGGAAAGACCTGCAGTATCTCTCCTTCACACACGGCCGTGCAGCAGCCTGTCGCTGAAGGAGCTGCTCAGTGCTGTCGCAGTGACCTGCGTGGGATGGGCGATGTTCTTCAACAGGGTTGATAGCTTAGCCACCATTCGCCTGTCGCCCACTACCTCCACTGGGTCGAGGGGTCATCCCACGACAGTCTCTTCCTGTCAGCAGTGGAGATGCTGCTGCCGCAGCAGACCACAGGAAAGAAAATGGCTGATGCCACCACAGAGTCATAAAATGACTTCAGGAGTTCTCCCTGCACTCCAAAAGACCACAGACCTCGTATTATGGAGATATTACCCTCTGGTGAATCTGCACCATGGTGGGCCATCATCCAGCACTGTGTATTGTTTCCATTTGATTTTGGATGATACAAGAGATGAGTTAACGCATTCTTTAGCTGTGCCTGTTTTCCCAGGAGCTCACCGGCTCATCAGATGGCTGCTCTCCATCACTCCATCACTGAGCCAACAGCACTGACTGTGTGTGTGTGTGTGTGTGTGTGTGTGTGTGTGTGTATTGTGATATGTCTGCGTGTTGTAGGGAGTGTCCGGTGACAGCAGCTCCCATTCAGAGCCAGAGGTACCTCAGTCTTCTTCTTCCCCACCATCGTCTTCCTCCTCTGCCAGAGGAGCTGCAGCCTCACAGCCCATGGACACCAGCTCTCCTCCTGCTCCATCATCCTCCACCTCCACCCAGACTGAGGGAGCAGCTAACACTGGCCCCAAGTAAGTCAGAGCCTGAATGGCCCCATCAACAGCTGGTATCAACATGTGATCTGTATCTGGATACTGACACTTGGTCTATGGGAAGGTGTGTTCTCATGATCTTGATTGTGCCTGCATTAAAATAAGATTTCAATATGCAAATTAGTTAGTCACCAAACATGGCATATACTTGCCACTGCTGCTACGTGTACTTTTGACCAGGTAACAGAAAGAGATGGAGCTTGGTATTCATCCAATCACAAGTCAGTATGATCTAATGCATTAACACCAGATCCAGATCCCGATCACATTAATGTCAAGGTGTCAGGTGGGATAAACCTTTACACCCAAATACAGACTACAACAGTTTAATGAGTTTGTGCAGTTTAATTTATTCAGTGAGTTATTCTTTGGGAATTTCAAAATAAATGAGAAAACTTAATTTTGAAGTGAGTGAAGTAACTTTCAAGCGGCAGCACTGTTTTACTGTAAAGAGGACTAGAGGACTATTTAAAATGAACAGACAATGAATTTAATACAACTCCAAACTAATTAGAAATGGTTTCAAAAATTCTTTTGTACTTTCTCAGTAAAAAGTAGGAACTAAAATCTTGGTATAAAAACTAACTTTAAGCAGAGTCACAGAGTCCTCCCTCATGCTCAGTGCCTCTTTCAGAAACTGGTATTAAAAAACAAAAAATGACTAGTTATTAGATTTTCCTTTAAAATACAAAAATTGAAATACATACAAGGTGTTTATATTTGTATAATAAAACAGTCAAATCAATAGAAAACAGAAAGAAAAAAGGCCTGAGACCTGCAGGTCTGTCACAGAGACACACAGCTAAAGCTGAAACTGACAGACACTGTTATGATTTCTAAGACATAAGTACGGCTTAAAAAGGATGCAGTGTTCTTTGTCGGGTTTATCAGTGCTGATAAATTATCTGAAGTCTCTAGTTTATGAACGTGTAGCGATATCAGACTGAGGAGCTTCATGTGAACATTTCTGAACGTGAACTCAGACATGTAACACTCATCTTGGCTAAAATAAGTAACTCTGCATCCCCAGTCTCAAACATCTAACACCTGGTGTGAGGAAGGAAGTGATGTAATGGAAAACACCTGTGTCCACATTGTCACTTTATGAGTCAAATGGTTTAATGTATTTGGACCATTTTGTCTGGACAGTTTGAATTAAAGAGCTTTGATTCTGACCTAGCAGCTAAAATATCCCAGTGGTAAGCTGCTGCCTCCACCCCTCACACTGAGACAGGTCACATCAATTAAAACTGAGGGAGGAATCAAACGGCGCTGCAGCACTTTATCTTATCTATTATGACTGGACTGAGTGACTCTGACATGTTTAAAATCGCATGCAGAACAAATCACATAGATCCAGAACAGAGAGTTCTCCTTCAGATGAAGCTGCTTCTCAGTCTAATAACTCTACACGTTTACTGACGTTCATATAACTTATCATCACTAAGAAAACCGACAAAGAACATTACATCGCTTTCAAACCTCAAGAAATCATTACAATGTCTTATTAGCTTCTGCTTCAGCTGTGTGTTCCTGTGACAACCTGCAGGTCTCAGCATCACCTGTCTTAATATGAAAACACAAGCCTTTTGGTTTCTTTTTTTCTTTTCATTTTAAACTAGAATCACCTCCTGGTGGGTGTCTGCCTCCTCCACTCCTCCTCCTCCTCCAGACTAGTTTCAGGTCACATCCCTGTTTTTCCAGAGTCATAGAAAATATGAACCATTTGTATGAAACTTTGTCATAATTGCTGTGAAGTCTTGAGCAATGGCTAAAAAGTGTTTAGTGAGTTCACACTGACCTTGACCTTTGACTTTTGACCACCGAAATCTAATCAGTTCATCTTTGAGTCCCTGTGAATGTTTGTACCACATTTGAAGAAGTTCCTTCAAGGTGTTAATGAGATATTATGTCAATGAGAATGGGACAGACAACCTGAAAACAATATGGCTCTGGCTCAAAATCAAATAATATCATAATATAATATAACAGTTTTTTTTTTTTTATGTGAAAGGAAACTCAAATCACCCAAAGATACACGGACCCCTCAGACTGTGAATCAGCTGTGGTGTGATTAAAATTACCCATCCACTTTGTCCAGCTTTTTCATGCTTTATTCACAAAAATCTTGAATGAATTTGAGGAGAACATAGTAATCACTGTAAATGAGAGTGAAACAAAGTGTTTTTGACATTGACATTTCTGATAGTTTCTGGTTTTCTGAAGCAAAGAGCGTGGGGCTGATTTCTTTAAATATTTTACTGCCCAGTTCATATATGTAATATATGAATAACATTCATCTCTCATGCTCAAAAACCAAAACCATCTGCACTCTGTTTGCATGTTCCAAAATACCACATGCACACGTTCATGCCGATTCCACCGGAATCAGTTGATAACATTGAGGCCACCAGGTTGCAGCGGACGCAGACACCATCCTGTCAGCTTTCTAACCAGTGTTCTCCAGCAGGGTCTCTGTAGTGCTGACTCCTCCTGTGCTGTGTTTGTCCTCAGTCACCCGAGTCCAGCAGAGTTTGTGGAGGTCCTGTCTGAGGTCAGGAGGGTGGAGGAGAGGTTACGCCCCTTCATAGAGAGGACCCACTCAATCCTCGGAGCAGCCACATCAGCAGACTACAACAACAATGTAAGGAAGGAGTGCAACAGCAACAACGGTTACATCACTCGCAGTATGAGAAGAAGTGACATCCAGAAATAAACTTATTAACATTTACACAGTTCAGCAGGAAAACCTTGGTTTCATGTTATGTGCTGTGTCCCAGTTCCATATGCTACATACCGACTGTATGCAGTGGCTGTGGTCAGCAAACTTTATTTGGCATCTCCTCTAGTGGGAATACACAACATGATCAATTCACTGATCCCCAATCTGATCACTTCTCACTCAACCAAGACATTGTTCTGCTGTGTCATCATCAAGGCCGTCCCCCTGCTGTCTCTCTCTGATCGCAGCCTGAACAAGCTAACATCAGCCTGAACAAGCTAACGTTAACCTAAACAAGCTAATGTTGGTCTAAACAAGCTAACATGCACCTAAACAAGCTAACATTAGCCTAAACAAGCTAACATTAACCTAAACAAGCTAACGTTGTGTGTGGAGTGTCGCTACAACAGATTACACAGTAACATTTCAGGACATGAACATGTTGACAGCATGATGTTAATATTAAGTTAACAACTGAAACAGCTGTTTGCTCCTGTCATCAGAAACACTGTGACACCGTGTGTACTGACTTCTGGTCGTCTATAACTTGATGACCCATTGATCCGCGTCAAACACAAGATATCTCCATACACAAGTCAGATTTTTTTCGCAGTCGACCTGTGGCTGCACCTGATGCCATTCCACATGTTGTTGTTATTGTTTACTGTGCCCGCCTTCGCCTTCTCTTCCAAGTTTGATGTCAGACAAACAAGTACCATCACATTTTCAGAATTTTCGCTTCTCATGACATCCCCATTGCTGTGAAACATGATTTACACTTTGCCTAAAACATTTCTACAAAACTTTACAAAACATTGTGACCATAACTTGTTTTTTGGATCATGAATTTACGTCAGTACATGCAGAAGCAAATTATTATTAAATAAAAGGAAATCATGTTGCTGCCATTGCAATGGTTCCTGTCCACGTTCGCACTGGGGTTAGACTGATCTGAGAACAGTGTAAATACAGAGTGCACTGTAATCTCATTTACTCAGCACATTCAGGCTCTCAAGCTGTATGCTTTCAGACCCAGTCATGATATGTTGTTCTTTGTTCTGTCCTCTGCTCCGGTTCACTTTCACAGACACAAGAAAGAGAGGAGGATCAGCGCATTCTCAACCTGGTTGGAGATGCCCTGCGTCTCCTTGGAAACACCTTGGTTGTCCTTGGTGACCTACGCTGTAACCTGGCGACCTCTCCTCCACGCCACCTGTATGTGGTCCGCCCCATGGCCCACTACACCCACCCAGTCCTGCTCCAGGCTGGTCTGCCACACATGCCCATTCCAGTAGGTTCACACCACACTGAGTCATTGTGTCAGCCAGGCAACAAAGTAACTTCAGTTCAGCTGGAAAGAACCGTGTCATTTATAAAGGCTCATCTATTATGATAGGTCTTTTTTATGCTCAGCTCATTATGAATAGGTTGTGGGTGTTGCTTGCTGGGATTTCCTGATGTTCAAAAACATCTGTGTGGTTTCTCACACATGCTAATTTTTAACCAGGCAGCTGGCAGAGCAGCGCTGGTAGCGATACCGACCTGCAGCTCTGAGTTTCTGGCTTCATGGTGCAAAGGAAGCCAGAAACTGAACTGGAAGGGAAAACACAGAAATATTATAACTGTTGCTCCTCACTGCAAACATTCATTAGAACATAAAATATTACTGTATTCAGTGATTTGTTGAGTTGCAATTGTTAGTAAATAATATTCAAGTATTATAATATTCACACACTTTATTAGAAACACCATACTAATACAGATATGGATGAAAAACAAATCTATTATTAAAATAATTGGCAGTTAATTTCATTTTCTGTGGATAATGTAATTGTTCCAGTTATGTCCTCCAGAGTATCACAGTGTTATAGAGTACATTAAGAGTATTGCTTATTTATACTGTGATAAAAGATTTTTATATAATTTGTTGTTGTTTCACACAACTTGCTGTTATTGTACTGGCCAGCTTAATTTATATCACTTCCTGACCTGAGGGCCCGCCCACCGACATTATCATGTGACATGCATGGTTCCTTACTGAGAAGAGCTGAAATTGGATCTATTTATATATTAGCTGCCTGAATAATTTGTCTCTGAGCAATAATGTCTCCATGAGGAGTTCCCTTTAGATGCCTTACGACAACTTTGTGCATCACTGACAGTGGCAAAGAGAAGTAAACATGTCTGTCTCCTCCAGATAAACTTAGGAACAACAGTAACCATGACGTCTAATGGGAGACAGGTGGCTGAGGGACAACGCCAGCCCTCTCACAGTTCTGGCCAATCAGATCAACAGGCTACCGACCAGGCTCCGCCTGTTCATTCCAACGGGGCCGCTCATCAACAGGGACAGGGAGGACCCCGAGTGATCCGGATCACCCATCAGACCATGGAGCCTGTAGTCATGATGCAGATGAACATCGACGGTATGTGTGCGGCCATGTCAGCTGACACTCCTCTTTAGCGCTACGGTCACATGGGCTTCTGTGATTTGTTTGAAGGGGCCAGTATCGACGGTGGCCCTGAGAGCTCAACACACTGCAGCTTAAGAAAAACAAAATGCTTCAGAAAACATCTTCCAGTTTCACAACACATGTTCTGCAAATACTCACAACACGAGCAAATACACAACTGTCAGCCAACATCGGAGCATAACAGCCAGAATCTGCTAAAATGTGGAGGTGTATGGGCCAGACTCAGGCCGTGGACCAGGGCCTATGTTGGGCCAGAAGTTTCATTTTGCTGTCTGAGATGTGTTTTCTTAAGTTGCAGTGTGTTGAGCTGTCCGTGCCGCCGCAAGTCTCCCATGTATTTCAGTCAGACAAGTGAAACACAGAACTACTTACAGTGAAGATCATCGGTGAAAGAGAAATGAACACAGAATTAAATTAATGTGATATAAACAAAAGAAAAGGAATATAATGAGATCATTTACTTTGAATTTATTGAGCCAAACTGATGGGTTTCTGCTCTGGTTGCGTTGGCCAGGTGAGACAGCAGCTGGGTCTCAGGTTCCCGGACAGCCAATTGCTGCAGGTCCCGGCCAGCCCGGTGAGTGACGCTCTGTGATTGGGTAGTTTGTTGCTATGGTAATAGCTGTCTCTTCCTTGCAACGCTTTGGGTCAGATGAATTTTAAGTGGATGCACTCAAAGAGGACACACCTGTCTCTGTGTTCAGGAGTGACACCGGTCCACTTCCCAGGACTGCCCCCTGAGTTCATGCAGGCCATCGTGCACCAGATCTCGCACCAAGCTGCTGCCATGGCTGCTGCAGCCTCAGCAGGACACCCAGAACAGATGGCGTCAGGCCCTGGCTCCACGCCCAGCGCTGAGGCAACTGCTTCCCAACAACCCCCCCACCCTGCTCAGGCCAGGGTGGTCATCACCAGACCTTCCTTCTCCCCTCGCATCCCTCAGCCTGTGGGAACCAGGGGAACCACCATCAACCTGAGGGCCACAGTACCCACAGCTGGCCAACAGCCAGGACAGGTACCACAAAAACGAATCGTTATTTTTAGAAGTGATTAATCAGAGAGAAATGGTCGATATAACATTAGAAACAATTTAAAAATGCCCTTTAAAATTTCCTAGAAACCATCGGACCATCAAACGTGGACCAACTGTCCAAAACACAAAAATATTAAATTGACTATAATGTTAAGATGAGGAATAAGAGCACATGTTCACATTTAAGAATCTTAAACACAGAAGTTTTGGATTTTCCTATCAGTTAATTTTCTGTCGATAAGCTAACTAACTTTTGCGGCTATGGCTACGTCCTGCAGTGTATCACAGTGTCATACAGATGAAGTGTTAGCAAACAGCTGCTTGTTTACCTCTGCCCCCCTGTGAGCAGGGCACACCTCTGGCTCCCTCCTCCCTCACACAGATGATCAGTGGTCTGGTCGGACAGCTCCTGATGCCGGGGCAGCCAGGTCAGTATCCACTGGTTTCAACAGTCAGAGCAGCTAACAAACCAAATGTTCTCTTTCTCACTGACGGTTAGTCAGCCACATGTATACCAGATCAACAGTTGTGTTTGTGAACCAGTTCCTTAATGATTCCTCCTGACCTTTCAACCGTATTCCATGGCCCTCTTCAGCAAATGGAGCCTGCTCAGGTATCGCAATGTTTGATCTCCAGTTATAACTTGATCAAAGCTTGTACCTGGGTCATGTGATGGACACCTAAGCGAGATTCATTTGTGGGTGAAGACCATGGGTTGTGTACAAAAGCTCAGAAGTTAGTGAACTCTGAAGATTTGTGTTGCCAGCATCAAAAGTGAACCTAGAGCCTTGATTCAGACTCTGGGCCCAGATGGGTTTACATAAGCTCTGACCTTTATAGAGATCACGTCCTACATCATACTAACATTTGAAAATCTTAGAGGAAAATTTGGGATCCCACAGGCTCACTTGTTGAAATATTTTCCAGATACAACATCAGACCCCTGTGCTAAAGGGAAGATCCCAATAATTTATAGGAAATTGGTAAGTGTGTCTTCAGAATCCTCAAATTATAAAAGAATGGATAGAGGGTCAGAGGATTCAGCTTACAGAGGCCTCAAACTGTGTGTGTGCGGTCGGTCACGTTTGGTCTGTGGGTGTCTTTTAAACTCACTGGCTACAGCTGATCTTTAGAGAGAGGCACAACAAATGGACCAGGCTGATATTGGCTTATTGCAGATAAATTGGTAATGTGTCAGCTGATTAGTCTTATCTCATAGTTTGTCCATCGGAGGGAGCTGTGCGGTTGATCTGTCTTGGCCACAGTTCATTAAACATGAATCTAAAGGTTTATTTAGTTGATTTATTTTTTATGCTGTCGGGTGATATATATCGTCAGCAGATTTGAATAAACTTTAGATACTGATCTCAGTACTGGTCTCTAAAAAACCTGTCGGGGTTCAGCGAGCCTTATTTTGTCCAGGTCTTCTCACTCCCCCAGGTGATCCTGTTTCCACGTCCTCGTCGACCAGCTCTCAGTCCTCCTTCTTTACCTCGTCTTTGTCTGATTCCTCCACCGTGTCCCCCCCACCAACCTCTGCCAACACCTCCGGACAGACAACCACACGCACCACCAGCACCGCCTCCGTGGGGCAGCCAGCAGACAGCAGTCCTGAGGGAAATCTGGCCCAGCTCCTCGGCTCTCTGCTGGGAGGAGCGGCTGGGCTGGGGGGTTCCGGCTCTGGGCCGGCTCCCTCCATCACTGTGACGCTGCCGGGGGTGCCAGGCTTCTTCCAGGGCATGTCAGACTTCACACTGGTGAGTTCACCCGCCATTGACAGCCCCAGAGGTTGATGCTCAGTTCAGACGTTGTGTTTACTCTGGAACAAACTGAAAATTGAAATATGATACAATAAGCTATAGGTCTTGTTCCCTTGGACCTACATTTGTGTATCAGTTCGTACTGTACTGCTACAGTGTCAGTACAAAAACATACTGCTCTATGTTGGAGGCTGCGTTCTATCACCGTAACAACCTCCTGATATGTACAGGTTTGAAGATGATGGTTAAAAGTGTTTGTTGTTTTCTTCCTCAGCCCCATGCCAGTGGCCCTGCAGCCCCAGCCCCGCCTCCATCTACCAGTACTGCCCCGCCCCAGGACAGCAGCAGTGGAGCCACAGACTCTCTGAGCCCGGAGCTGTTCACCGGCATCGTGCAGGGAGTCCTGTCCACCATGATGAGCTCTCTGGGGGCACAACAGGGCAACGGAGAGAGCATCGCCCAGTTCATCCAGAGACTGTCCCAGACCAACAACCTGTTCACGCCTGGCTCTGGAGACGCTGTGGGTGAGTCAGGAAACAGGAGGATGATTCAGGCCACACATCACCATCCTAATACGTTTTCCATTCACATTTCACACCATTCACAATCACTGTCATCAACTTACTGATGAACCAGCTCTCATCCTGGCAGGGTTCTTTGGCGACCTGCTGTCTCTGGTCTGTCAGAGCTTCTCCATGGTGGACATGGTGCTGTTGCTTCATGGGAACGCCCAGCCTCTGAGCCGCATCCGACCCCAGCTCACTGACTTCTTTACCGAACACTACCTCCAGGGCCGAGAGCCCACTGATGCCAACATCGCAGTAAGTGCTATAGAGAGAGAGTTCCTGACTGTTTGTTCACACGCTGAGCTGTTTGTTTCCTAGTAGATAGGCTGTAATGGCAAATGATGGGAGTGAGTTGGGTTTTCAGTGGGCGAGTCTACACAGAAAGCATTTCCGCTGTCTTCTTCACTTATCTGTGGTATTTCTTCCGCCGGGAACACCTGCGTTGTGAGTCTGCTGTTGCTGAAGCACGTGTGTGTTCACACCAGCTGCGTCTCTATTTGTTTTCATTATTAATTCATTTCAGATTCATTTCTGACAGAAAATGTCACTTAAATGCAGACATGGACAAAGTACACAACTCCATTACTTGAGTCAAAGCATAGATACCTCTGGTCAAATATTACTCCAATACAAGTGAAAGTTGTTCAGTCAGTGCTTCATTTTACAAGTACAAAAAGTACATTTTTGCATTTTTGTCAACACATTGTTGTGTTATTCAACAGTGTATTCACAAAACCTAATGACTCTGAAACAGCCTACTGACTGAGTGTAGAAGCTGTAGAATACAAATCTTGTAGAAAATGCTACAAACCCTGTAAAAACGGCCAAAAAAAACACAATTGAATCAACAAAAGGAACTATTGCTCTTCACCTGGGTGACACCAGTCCTCCAGTGAGGCATGGTGGGGGAAGCACCGTGCTGTGTGGGGGGGGGGGGTTCTCAGCAGCAGGGACAGGAAGACTGGTCAGACCTGATGAAGGATGAATACAGAGAGGTGCTTCAAGAAAACCTTCATTTGATTTTTCACATTTAGGAATTTAACACTTTGTCCTCTCTGCAGACAGCAGCTGAGGACCTCATCAACGGACTGGAGGAGTACATAGCTGAGAGCTTTGTAAGGATGACCTCTTTCTCACACACACACACACACACACACACACACACACACACTCTCTGACTTCTGCAGTCCATCTCATGCGCTGAGCTGTGTGTTGTGTGTCCAGGCCACGGTGACGGTGCGGGAAGGAGTGGACATCGTTCAGACCAACCTGTCCTTCCTCAGACAGCAGTTCACACACATGGCCTCACACATCCTGCGCTGCAGCGGTAAGTCAGTTATCAAGAAGGGTCAGTGACCGAGAAAAACAGGCTGCAGACAGACTGACCCTAAAGATGATGGTAATATTTTAATTAACCTCTTCAGTCACCGATGAGTTGTCAAAGCTCTAGGTCCATATTCATCAAGCGTCTCAGAGAAGGAAATCAGTCCAAAGAGCAAAATGTTCTTTAACTTGTGAAATCTGTGCTGATGTTCAGCAGAGCTCCTCTGACGAGCAGCAGGGTCCTGCACACGAGGAGATGTTCACTGATGACGTCAGAGAGAGGAGAAACATGATCTCAGTGACTTTGACTGTGACATGATTGTTGGTCTGAGTGTTTCTCAAACTGCTCATCTCTTGGATTTTCACACTCAACAGTCTCTAGAGTTTTTACTCAGAGTGGAGCAACAACAAAAGCATCCAGTGAGCAGCAGCAGCTCTGTGTCGATGAGAGAGGTCAGAGGTCAGAGGAGAATGGACAGACTGGTTGGTGCTGACAAAGAGGCTACAGTCACTCCGGCCCTGTTCAGACCTGGTATTAACCTTTGTCTTCAGTGATCCAATAACAAGTGTTCAGTTCTAAGTTCATCAGTTCACACCTGCTTTAAAATGCGTCTCCACATGTGTCTGGTTGACCACTTGTGATCGGATCTCACTTTCTGCTTTATATGCAAATAAACAGGTATGCGTTGTTGTTTTTGGCCAGTCCACAGATGGGTCCGTCGTCAATGTGCTTGTGTGTGTTTGAGAGAGAGCGAGGGAGAGAGAGAGCAAGCGGGACACGGAAGGGTTGAGCAAAGTAATGCGCTGTGCACCGGTCTTATAATGAAATCAAGTTTTTTCCATTTGAAATAGTAAAATATTTTCCATTCATTATGAAAGTGTGGCGGGACTCAGTTGATGCAGGCCGTCCTTCAAGGTGGCCAGGTCTCCACACCTGGCTCCAGTAGAACACCTTTGGGGTGTGGTAGAACAGGAGACAAACTGCACAAATGACGTGATGCATCATGTCAACATGGAGCAGAGTCTCAGAGGAAAGTTTCAACAGCTGGAGGATCCATGACATGAAGAACTGAGGGAACTACCCAGCGTTAGTGTGCTGTTCCTAATAAAGTGCTCACTGAGTGACTCTGCATCATATGAAGCCAAAATGAGTAAATAGCTTAAATCTTGTCACATTTACAACTATTTTATTTATTACATTTACTAATCCGCCGTCTTAGTCGACAGTAAAAAGATCAGTGAGGCCTGCGATGATAAATGTAAATATAAATGTAGTGGATCTTTAGATTGCCTTCCAGTTCTCTGACGTGTCAGCACAGAACTGATTTCTTACTCTGATGCCTGATGGATGTGAGCAATGTTCGGGGTGTTATCCGATGGTCATGGAGGATCCTGTAGTCTTGACATTTGTAAACTGGGTGCGAGTGGTTTTCTGTCTCCTCTGGCTTGTTCCCGGTGCAGATCACACGTTCGGCCCTCGTCTGCTGCTGCTGTGCACTCAGGGCCTGTTTGAGTGTCTGGCTCTGAACCTGTACTGCCTGGGAGGAGAGCAGAGAGCTCTGACTGCAGTCATCAACCACCGCATCGTCAGTATACATCATTCAGACCTTCAGCGTGATGCTTCACTCGTGTGATGCGCTGCGTGTCACTGCATGTGTCTGTGCCTCTGTGTGTTTGTGTAGAGGAGGATGTCTGCAGAAGTCAACCCCAGTCTGGTCAACTGGCTGACCGGTATGATGTCTCTGAGGCTGCACGTCATCCTGGAACACAACCCAGTCACTGAGGACCAGATCCAGCACTACGTCATCTACACACAGGTGATACGCTCAGTCATAACGATCAGTACCACGTCACAGTAAGACTACTCTTATAAAGGATTTAGAAATGGTTTATAATTATGTTATTAATTCAGCTGTAAACACTTTATAAATCATAAATAAACAATTATAGCAGTTTTCATACATTGATGCAGGCTCACTATTTGCCAATTATTATTCATCATTAATCTTACTAATGAGTTACTACCATCTATAACTGGTAAAAGGAGCCTTATAGTAACTCATTAATAAATGGTGATGTGTTTTAACCTTTTACCAGTTGTACATGTTTGTAAATGATAATAAATGGTTGTAAGAATGAGAAGAAGAAACATGAAGATGATGGAGGGAGAATCACAGAGATGTGAACAGTGGGACAAAGGATGGGTGAGCTGTTCACCAAGTAAAGGAAGGTTCCCACCTGTGTTCTACCTGGTTGATAAAGTTCTAAATCTGCTTAAATATGATCATGTGATCTGCCATAATTTGATCTGTCAAATGAAACTTTCTCACCATTAAGATGCTGATGCTGGTTCATTGATAGTAACTGAACAAACATGTGATGAAGCAGCAGCTACAGATGCTGATGATGGAGAAAACAAAGAAAGCTCAGTAACTAATGAGATCTGAGGCTGAACAGTACAGAGACATGTGGGCTCACTATTTGGCAAGCAACAGGTCACTGTTGCCCTTTTTAGCTAATGTGTTATAACAGCTTATAAATGATTTCTAAAGTTTGAACAAGCTCATTAATAAACTAATTATAAACCATTCATAAATCCTTTATAGGGGTGGTCTTGTTATAGAGTGGTACCTGAGGGTCTAAGCTGGATTAATTTATAGTCAAAGTATCAAATTCAATATGCACATAACAAAATAATACATGTGTATGAACGTTGCCCTGCCTCAACAACAGTAAGTTCAATCCCGAAGTGTGAATACTGAGGCCCAGATTCAGTAACACATCGGTGTGGTTTCAGGGGGATGTGAACCAGAGGTCAGAGGCTGAAGCGCAGCAGCCGTCAGAGAGTCCCAGTGTGGAGGTGAGCCTGGTTCTGTCTCATTTTAAACACACTGACCTGAATCACTCCTGCCAGTCTACAGCCTCTTCTACAGCGACCTCTCTGCTGTCAGTGCAGATTTCTGGTCATCATCAACAAGTCCCGAATGTTAACCTGTCTCTCAATACCTAGACTCCTCTGTGGCTCTCAAATTGGAATCAGGCCCTAGTGTGACACCCACAAACCAGCTCTCATGTGGAGGGGCTAACCTGTCTCACAGGAGGAAAGAGAACAGAGCACAGTGCAGGTTCCTCATAAAGATGTATAGTGACAGTAATGACTAGAGCGACACTCAGTAGATTAACACCGCCACCAAGATTAAACAATCCTACACATTAAAGACAGTGATAATAACTTCCTGGCTCCGCCCCTTTAACCAGATCTAAAAGTAATGAGTTCTTCTCTGGCCCCTCCCCCATCCCTCCATCAAGTCTGGTTCAGATCAGTTCAGAGGCCTGTACTACGAAGCTGCTTATCAACTGGCTCAGGTAACCCTGGGTTCACCTGTCCGGTGAAAGAGGCGGGGTTGTTAATTATAAGCAACATCGTCCGAACCATGACTGAAGTTCTTAATATGATATGAAAAGAAACTCTGATACTTGCCACTTATAGCAGCTTCCAAAAGTGATGTTCAACAAGGTGAAATATAAACAACATGATCACATGACTGGAATAAAGAATTATAATTTCCATATCTAAATGTAATTTTATTAAAGTCAGACTAGAGGTATATTGTAAATAAGTGGATGAATGATCATGAAGTTTCTCAGTGAGTATTTTCGCTCTTCAGTGTGATGAACAAACTGTTTTGAGGTTTTACAGGATTTCATATAACTTGACTTGTTTGACTCTCATCACAGTAACTTGAGAGTTCCTCCCTCCTCTGCTGATTCTAGCTGCTGTCCTGCACAGTCACTGTGTCAGTCGTACAGATCATCAGAACCAGGGAAAGTTGTTATATAAGAATATAAAACATTTCTATCACTTTGAACAGCAGGTACAAATGGAAAATGTTGATGTTTTCACATGCAGAAAAAAAAAAATCTTTACTAAGCTTGAACACATGGAAAACGATTTGGATTATTGTCTAAACTAAGACCAACACTGTGCTCTCTACAAGTGTGATGACCCTTTTCTGTCTGTTTGACAACGTCAGTCCTGTGCAGTACAAACACACGTCAGTGTGACGGACTGAAAAACTCATTCGATCTCTCCACCCCTCTGTCAGATGGAGGAGAGTTTGTCTCCGGCCGCAGCCACCACAGCAGAGGAGGCCATGGCTACCTCAACTGACGGTGGAGAGAGGGGAGCGTCTCCTGGAGACAGCACCGCCTCATCAGGGGACGCTCAGTGTCCTGCTGGGGCCCCAACAGGACGAGAGGAGGCAGCCCCTGAGGTGGAGCCGTGGGCAGCAGCTGTTCCGCCTGTAAGGAGTGAGGCTTTCCCTCTGAGTTACATGGAAATACTGGGAAAAGTACGGTGGGTGACAAGAGCAAATGGCACTGCGATGGCCCAAAACACTAACATCAGGAGAAGCCAGCTGCAAATTCAGAAACCATGCAAATTCAAAAACAGACGAAAATACAAAACAAATACAAGAACAGAAAACATGCTGCAAATGAAAGAACATGCTGCAGGAAGACAAAACAAAAACATCAACAGCAAACATGCTGCAAATACAGAAACAATGCGTGGAACACCTTGAGTATAAGCTTGAGCTTCGACCCGAGAGGCCACACCTACGACCAGACTTTTGACCTATGACCTTGGACAAAAGGAGAGATTATGAGGAAAGAAATTTTTGCTGTAGTTTTTACAATATTATAAAAGAGCAACAGAAAATGTAGAGAGCGTTAGTGTTAGTTTCTGCTTTGTTTCTGAACTTGCAGCTGGTTTCTCCTAATGGAAGAGTTTTGGGCCGTTGCAGAACGTTTGCTCTGGTCGGCCGCTGTAGAAAATGCCTTTCGGGGTGCTCACAAACTACGCAGGGAAATAAGAAAAACACATAAAGATGAATGAAAACTGACGCAGTGACAGGACAGACTGAGACTGACAGAGGTCACATTTATATCGGCGTGTCTCTTTTACAGCTGCTCTTAAAGTGTGTTTATGTCTCATGATGTTGAAAAGTGCAAAGTGCCTCTCCTTCACTGTAAAACTGTGGCCGCCAGTTCATTGGATTATAACTGTACCATAATGTCTCTGTCAGGAATGGGTTCCCATCATCAGACACGACATGCTGTCTCAGAGGAAGATCAAAGCCCAGCCGCCGCTGTCTGACGCCTACCTGCACGGGATGCCCGCCAAGAGGAGGAAGGTGAGCAGTGCAGTCTGAGTGTTTATCCTCCGTGTTTCAGCTCTGTTCCGACTGTTATTAAGTGAGGAAGGTGAAAAACAAATAGAACTAACCGTGAGGAGCTGTCTCTGAATACTTTTCATTCTGTCTTAATATACCACCTTAAAAAATGTTTCCCAGTGTTTCCACTATTTAGCATCTTTGCTTTCATCATCACTGATATGACCTGACAGTTATTTTCTCACTTTGACACTGTATCAACATGTTGGACCCAAAAAACATACAAAATCAAAAAAAAAACATCAAATCATCTTTTTTTAACTATAAAAAAACACAAACATGCTGAATAAAGCAAAGTGGAAGTTTGAGTTCAGTACAGGTTGTGAATGTGAATATACAGTATATGATGGTAAAATGAAAATCAAGCTATATACAACTGTTCACAGCCACAAGCAGCAGTGGCAACACGCTGTTACTCTTCAAAACAGTCTATACCCAATAAGACAGAGAGCCACATGACACAGGCCCTGTGTCCCACAGTGTGAGGCTAATGCAAAGTAACATCAAACTGTTTGCTTCATTATCCATCACAAACAAGTCCAACTCAAACCTTCTAACAACTAGCTCTCTATGGCCCTGTTCACACCTGTTCACACCTTTTCAGATTTATTAACAACCATCTCAGGTGATCTGATCACAAGCGGTCAGTTCAGGTGTGAACGCACCCAAAATGCATTGAGGACGGTTTTGAGATGCGATCACTCAGACCATATTCAGAGGTGGCCATATTCTTTCAACAGTGTGAATGTGAATGTGTCATGGGCCACATTGTAGGACCACGTACTGACGTCCTCTGACACAGTCTGATTAATAATCAGTGATTACTAATAATAGTAATGGAGGCTCTGGAGGCATCACTGTTGTCAAAGTGCTGCTAATAAGACAGAGCCAGGCTAACAGTTTACCCCTTGCCTCCGGTCTGTCTGCTAAGCTAGGCTAAACCCATCCTGATCCTGTCTCTCGCCAGCATGTTTCCAGAAATGTCAGAATGTGTCTTTTAAGAAGTGTGACAGCGATGTCTCCACCCTCAGACCACCCAGTGTGAGGGACCACACCTGTCTCTGTCAGACGCCGTGAGTCGAGCTGCTCGGACCGCCGGAGTCCTGCCTGTCACGGCCCCGAACAGCCTGCAGGGAGAGCTGGAGAGGCCAGAGCTGCAGGAAGCATACACCAAACAGGTAGTGATGTCAGATCACATCACATATAAACCTCGAAAAACACACACACACACACACACACACACACACACCATAGACACACACCATATAGATCTTATTCTTTTCATTTGTACGTCTCTATAACTGCTTATTGTTTTTGTTTTCATTTACATGTCTGTCCATTATGTGTTCCCTTCATGTCACACTTGTTTTTGTTCTGCAAAGTCACTAATAAAGAAAACACAATCTACACAACCATAAACACATCACCTCAGGGCCTTCTGGGATAGGGTTACACCCACTAACCCTAACCCTAACTCCACCCACGTTATCCCATTATATAAGTCAGGATATTTCACTAACCTGCTGTGTCTCTGCGTCCTGGCAGGTGAAGAGCGACATCAAAGAGCGTGTGCGAGACGATCCGGACTACAGCTCCCAGAGATTCCCCAACACACACCGCGCTTTCTCTATAGAAGACTCCTAATCCTCTCCAGCCATGTGCCACAGAGGGCCGAGGCCAGGTCCAGAACAGAGGAGCGAGGCCAGGTCCAGAACAGAGGAGCGAGGCCAGGTCCAGAACAGGATCTGTTCCTGGTACATGTAGAATGGTAACATCCCATCGTAGACGTGGCCTGTAAGGACGACAGCTGCTGAACGGTTCCTCCTCTCTTGCTGTAGTTTGGCTAGAATGGAAAAACCTGCAGACTGTGGCCCCTCCATGGCACATGGTCTGAGGAACTATACGCTCTTTGAGTCACCTCAAGCTAAAACATTCCCTCTGCTCTCTGACACCTCCTGAGGTGTCAGAGTACTAAACGCTGAACATAAGATCTGCCAGCAGCAGCTCAGTACAGAAGAGGACTGGAGGACCAGTGGAGAACTAATCCTCTTCTGTCGGTCTGAAACAGTCTGAGCATCACAGCCTCAGACCAGTGTCAGGACCGTTAGGACAAGAACTGACAATTCAGTGGTAATGTTCTGAGAAAATAAATAAATAAATAAATAGAAATAGTTGCACTATGAGAATAGAGCTGCAATGTTACAAGATATAAGTTATAATAATGTTGCAAAGAAAAAGTTGTTGCAAAAACAAAGTGATACCATGAAAACAAAGTTGTAACGCTGCGAAAAAAAAAGTTGTAATATCATGAAATAAACCTGAAAAGTTATTAGGAAAAAAAGTCACAATATTTCAAGAGTAACGTCATAAAATGATGAAGAGTGAACTGACAGTCTGGTCCTCTGGATGCAGTGTGATCAGATTTGTGTTTCCTGACACTCCGTCATACTGAGCACTTCTGTCCTACGTTGCACATGTATTTGCATTATATATTAAACTGTAAATGAGAGCAAACTGTATATAGTAAATGGGGAGTGATGTCATAGAGCTGTGTCAATGTCAGTCAGGTTAGTGCTGTTGCCATGACGTCAGGTTTTTATCTTTTAGCATCATGACAATAAACGTCACGGATGATTTGTTTATGTCTGTATCAGCACTGACAGTGGTGTCTGTCGTCTCTAACCACGTATCCTCCTGCACTGTTGTTACCTGCCACAGCCTGATGGTGGTGATGTGTGTGTGGAGCACGGCTGCAGTCAGTAGAGGTCTGTCCAACTGTGAATGGTTACTCTGTGCTTGTTAACATCACTGAAATAAATCAAACTTCAAATCAGTGTTTCGAGTCTTTATTTACAGAGTCTCAGGTTTAGAGTCGCACAGCGTGTCCAACAACAGATGAGACAAGTCCATGGTCCACATGTGTACCATGTAGCAGCTGTGTGAGGCTGTTTCCCATCCTCCTGTGTGTCTGCACAGGAAGTGTTTCATCCTTTTGCTGCTGTCGACACAGATGGCGTAACAGCTCGTGGTTTACGCCCGAAAACACGACCTGGGGTGTATTTTAATGTTTCACAGTGTGACGACAGGGTTCAACTGTCTTCAGGTCAGAAGTCTTAACACGCAAGCATCAACCCCAGAGACTGAAACATGAAGCATCAACACTGAAGAACCAAAACCTGTGGTTCCTCTAATGACCACTAGACTCTGGCTCCAACAGTGAGTCAATCCACATAGACTCCCATGTTAAAATGTCCAACTTTACAGCAGAAATAAACGTTTACAGCCTGGTACAAAAACAGTTTTGGTCTCTAGAGCTTCCTCCTTCATGACAACTGTTTATATAACTCACCTGTTTACATTTTATTAAGGACTAAAGTTATGGAGAATTGAGGGCATGGCATCTTTGAGTCACAGGTGGGTGAGCGCATGCTTACCACAAACCAGTATGAACCCAAGTCTCGGCTCCACATGCCCCACCTCTTTGACCGTTTTTGGATTAGCTGGGAGTTAGGGGTGTGGTCACTGCCGAGATGGCGACAGTGGAGTAGCTCACACTGAGCTTCAAAACCATTCTTCAGAAACCTGTGGGTGACGTCACAGAGGCTACGTCCATCTTTATTTACGGTGTATACTCCCTCCTCACTGTCAGGGAGTCCTGTGTAGAGGACTAAACAGTGAGCTCATCTGTAAATGGAAAAACATTTTCTGACATTCCCGTAGGTCATTTTCTCCGCATCGCTTTTCTTTGTTGCAGCACAACCACAATGTATGATGGTATATATTGCCTGGTTAGTGACAATCAGTTGTGCACTACTTTTCATGATGCACTGTGAGTCCGCTATATAAGGTATAATAATTCTCACTATACAATCACAGTACTACAAAATAGAGCACTCACTATAGTGAGTGATTTCGGACACAGCCACAGAGCGGCCATTAAAGAACACGACCAAGTGCAAGATAAACTGTGCACATTAAGAAAAACAACAATGACATGAGGAAACATCAGTGCAAAACACAAACCTGTAATATTAGTGGAATAGAAAAAGAAAAAGAAGAGGAGGGCTAGAGGGGTGAGCTGAGGGACAGGGATGGTTGAGGAGCTGTCACCACCATCTAACACTAAAACTTTATTTCCTCTGGCTCCTGCCATGCTGTTTCCAGCCGTGACTTCATCCAGGTTTTATCTGATCTTTTGTTTTCTGGTTCAAGGCCTGTGCCACAGAGCAGGACTCTAGTTAGTGAGGTAAACCCTGGGTTTTCTACAGTGGTGGTTCTCCTCTTACCAGGGTACATCGGCATGGTAACTTGCACACCTAACCTGCTCTGGAGCACATGAAACTCATATAAAAGCTCCGCCCACTGACCAATCAGTTCTCTTGGGAAATGGCGTCACTGTCGGTAGAATATCGCATGGAGCTCAGTGGATCGCTCAGGCTGCTCAGAGACCATTTCTTATGAGCGACCCTCATTATTCCAGAGGGCCCCTCCTCAGCAGGAGTGGACCCTGCTGTCTTCTTCATTTCATTTTTTTCCTGTTGGTTGCAACAGTGTCAAATTCATTTCACTGTGTTTTCGAACACCGACATCATCCTACAACAAAGACCAACACTAAAGCTGAGTCACTGCTTTCAATTATGTTTTTATGTTTCCTTTTTATTTGACAGCCTGGGGCTGCAGCTGTCATACAGGCCATAGGAAGACATCTGAACAACACACGCATCTGATGGAATACACAGATGTAACTATAGATCTACTTGTGCCCTAATGATGAGCAGTGATACTATAAGTCACTAAGTTACACATTCACAGTCTGTGATTTTTTACTAGATGTCCTTCCTGTGTTTAACATCTTCATATTTTTCTATTATAGTTTCCTCTTTGTCACTCCTCTGCCACTAGACTTGTCCATGTTTCCATGTTTGTGATTGGTCATATGCTGCGAACTCCGCCCCTTTCATCTGAACACACTCTGGAAAACCTGGGTTGACTTGTTGAGCTGATAACCAGCATTGTGTGACTGCTTAGCTTAACTGAGGTTGTTAGGCTCAGTGAAGTCAGATAACAAATAGATATCCTGGATCTGTTGACCCTGCTTTGTAGTACAGGCTCCGCCTCCATGTCTGTTTTCCTCTGAGGTCACGTCACATCCATTCCAGCTGACGCTGGTGGGAAGGTCATTGGTTTTGCAGGAACTGAGTAATGAACCAAAGCGTTGGAGATTCTGACCTAATGATGCGCCAGAGGAAAAGTTATTGGATGTCATTGGGGTTCATCCTCTGATAGTCAAGAATAATTGTACCAGATTTCACGGTGATCCATCACAGAGTTGTTGACATATGTCAGTCTGCATTCCTGGAGCCACACTGCTAGTGTGGCTGAAAAGCATATTTACTTCTCCAGCCAGTTTATCCTGCTGGGAACAGGAATGTGCTCAGCTGCATTTTTAGTTAGCTGTTGATTAGATTGTGAGACATCTTCAACACAAACTTGACCATTTCTCCTGAGGGTGCCACAAAACAAAATATCTGCGGTGTCCAAAAACAGGGAAGGGTACACCCCCTGGGGAGCTGACAGTGGTGCTAAAGGAAAGGTCTGAGGGGCCACCAAACACATTGTGGTTCATCCTCTGGAACTGTGAATATCCACAGCAGATGTAATGTCAGCCTGGTCAGTACTTGTAATATCCTCCTCTGGGCCAAAGTGGACCCCCAACACACTGGCATCACCATCACCATCCATAAATGACAAATAACATTAACACTGATCTTTATTCATCATGGGATTGTTTATTCACACAATCAGGATTCACACAGGAGTTATTGCAGAAGTACATACGGGAATTAAGCAACACAGAACCTGACGAGTCATGTTTCTAACACAGGCATGACTGATAAATACACACCAGAGCATGTTCGATCCCTGATGTACCACAGCTACTGTTACAGCATGCTTTATTGCTTGGTTTGGAGAAGCACTAAATATGATCAAGCTGTGTGAAACTTTACAGCGAAGTCACAGCAAATGCTTGAGCCCCCACCTTGAGTATATACACCAACTCATTTAGGCACAACTTCACAACCAAGTCAAAGTTCAAGAGAAACTGTTCCTATACGGACATCTTTGCGTTTAGCAGTGATGACAAACATGGATGCATTTAGTACAGGTCAGAGCTTTTTTTTTTTAGGAACAGCTGGAGGCTTTCACACTTTAGTCTATAACCATGTATTCATGTGTTCATTCATGTTGCACAGAGCTAAGCAGCCAGTGTGGCACCTGACAAGTTTTTGCTGACATTAAAAAAAAGCATTAGTCGTCTCAGATGAGGAGCTGATGAATTTCCAGTGCAATGACCTGAATATAGACTTTTCTTTACTGTTGCCCTTCATTAATTTATGAAATAATTTTGTTGTGAGATTGGACAGTGACATTTGGCTCATACGACTTCACCAATTTTGTTCAGAGACTCCGATGACAAATAGGACTCCATTATGACCCTGCTAACATGCTGATCCAGATTTTGAGCTTTATGAACACCAACATGACCAAAAGTGTTTGCCCAATCTTTGAAGACTCACTTTTTATTTTTAAAGTTACAGTTGAATACACTGCTTTTACTGTACTTGGATTGTTTTTAGGTTTCTGTATTCAAAAAAAATCACACAACCACTGTGTGATAGTTCTGTGTAGTGCTAGCACTCAAGCTGTTGTTGGTTGGATGTGTTTTTCACTCTGAAGCTTTTTGCTCAGCAGAGTTGTAAAGAGTGGTTATCTGAGNATATATATATATTTTTTTTTTTTTTAAAGATGATCATCCTTAGGAACCTATGGGTTTCACACAAACAAGGGCAACCCAAGTATTTTCAACTTTTTTGATGATTTGATGATTTGTGAGGCTCTTATATGAACTTCACAGCTTCGCAACACTGACAGACACATCGACCATGAGAAGGCGGAAAAGGTTGGAGAGATTTCATAGGTGTGTAAGAAAATCCTGTAAGGGCAGGCAAGACGAACAGAAACAGGGATAACGTTGCACTTCCTCCCCTCAAAGACATTCATGGTACTGCACTGGCTTGTGACAGAAGTAGCTGTA